ATGAAATCCTCTCTTCTTCTGATTTTCTTTGAGGGGTCCACTAAATATTAGTTTACATTTCGTTCAAATTTTTCCCCAAGTTGTTGGTAAATTAACACTGTCCCAGTTCATGTTTGGTGGGTTTATTCCAGAGAGTGCCATTTGTTCACTTTTTTTTTTTTAAAGTTTCAGTTAATATGAATTTGATCTAAATGTCAGGTGAAGTTAAATTTAATTTCCATTTTTTCTGACACCATGTTGTATGTTTTTGTTTTAGTGACAAGTATATTATCAAGAATATTATATCTCAAATGAGATGTCCAGTAAAATATACTATTGTATAATTTTAACTAGAAGAGACAACAAGAGTACGTCTTAATATTCCAAGATTTAATACACAAGTGATGTTACATGTAGCATGCTATGGAGGCGGAGCTTATCAGTAACTAAAGTCTGTTTCAATATATATCAATATAGAACAATAACAATCCACCTAATGCTCCTTCAAATGACGAAAGGAGGTATGTCATGTGGAAAATATGTATACCACGGAATACTAGAATGTTTTTTCTTCGCGTGTTTATTGCAGTGTGTCCATTTTCAATTATTGCAACCCAACAATAAGCTATAAAATCGACATGTCCTGTCTCGCCCATCACCTCGACATATTGTTTCGGGATGAAATGAACCAGTGGCTTGATTATATATGCATCATACCTATTACATGTGTTCATTTATACACAATATTCAGGAAAAAGCAGTTATTAGTCAAATTAATAAAATCACCCTACTTTCGTTTTTTGCAGCGAAACAGGCCACCTCTTTGATATTGATTTTATATCATATACACGGGTAATACACGGGTAACCGTTGTAACAAAGAACGATCTTAGAAGCAAGAGACAAGACTTTATAATCAGGTAGTCGAAATTCAGACTTGAATGGGCAGTTCTTATTTTAAGACAGGCGATTCCTTGCCACTGACCAGTTCTAAGATTAAGCATCATAAGTCTACAAATGTGTTCTTCTATTTTATATATTTGTGTGAATAACAGAAGTTCCGTATCATGACACTATAGTATATATACGTACATAAAAATAGAAAATATTACATGCTTAACGTTTAACGCAAATAAAAGCGTATGTCCTGCTTTGTGGGTATACCCGTGTGTTAAAAAATGAGAGGGTACTTGTGATATAAAGAATTCAAAAGCAAGAGGTAGCCCGTGTCGCTGCAAAACCGAAAGTGGGGTGTTTTTATGAATTTTACATTTATTTTTGATAATATACTGCCATTTATCCGAAGATGATATATAAGTGAACACATGAAATATGTATGATGCATATATAATCAAGCGACTGGTTCATTATAGTCCGAAACATAATATGTTATATTATGTCAAGGTGATGGGCGCGACCAAACATGTCGATTTTATGTAGCTTATTGTGAAGTTGCGGTACTTGAAAAACGGGCACATGACAAATCAGCACATAAATTAAACATTCTAGTGTTCCGTGGTATACATCTTTTCCACGAGTCGTGTCATACCTCCTTTCCTTATTACAATGAATTTTTACTGGCTTGTTATCCATCGCTGGTTTGTTGTTTAGCAGAGAATGGCCTGTGTATGTGCAAAGAGGGTACCGTTCGGGTAGATTTCGCAAAGAGGGTACCGATATGGAATGCACCGTGTATCTACTGTGTATAAAAATTCCTAGTAATAGAAAGAGCACCGAAACACGAGGCTATCAGATTTGTACGAGGGGGCGTAGCCCCCGAGTATAAATCAGATTGCCGAGTGTTTTGGTGTTCTTTCTCTTTTGTAGTCAAACATAAAAGCACGTTCCCTGTATATGAAACCCCGGCAAAAATGAACCAATGAACGAACATCTGAATATGACATTTCTGTCGCTTTCCCTTTCTCTGCCGTCACAATATGTAAACCCCAGCAAAAATGAGCCAATCAATGGTTCATGCTCTGGAGTGCGGGTAACTAATACCCGCACTCCAGTTAACGCACTGTGCATGTATATGTATATAACCCTGACACATTTTCAACAGAAAGGTCTCCAAACTATGATACAACTTTATATACAGAGTAGATATATCGATTTTTAAAAGTAATCGGTACATGAATTTATATACTTATTTTTATGGTAAAGTACAAAATGCCAAACTGTCGCTTATAATTGTACATCATACCCGTGTATATGCATATTAAAATTAAAAATGGTTGTCAGACTTATTTTCAACCTGAATTGTCGTTTTGTGATTAATCACCCAGGCCTTTGTTAATCTGGACTCCATACCTTGCTATATTATAACACAGATCACCTATTTTCTAAATGATTTCCTGGCAAAATTATAGAGGTAGTTAACTTGCCTGTGAACACACTTCTACAAAAAGTTATTCTTATTTATACAAATTCGAGTCTGATATGACGTATTGCTTTTATCAGCCATCATTGACCATACCATACCTGTATCGCATTGACCATACTATACCTGTATCGCATTGACCATACCATACCTGTATCGCATTGACCATACCATACCATACCATACCTGTATCGCATGTATACACATATTGTCTGCATTTTCTATCTAGAGTTCTTAGTTTTTAGTTCCCTTAAAGCAATATACAATTTTGATGAGAGTTTTGTTGCTAAATTATCACAAATGTGGTATTACTAAAATATGACACGGACTTTTTGACATATCGTGAAGAACGGATTTATATATTCAGTTCCAATAAATCTTAAAAAGAAACATTTTTATATACGTGTATAATTTTTAATTTATTTATAGGTATTATAATTTGTAGTTTGAGTATTGTAAATGATAAATAAAGATAATAAATACACATATACTGTGTACTGTTAATCGTTTTCAAAATAAAATAAAAACGTTGATTGCCGAAATACTTCTTACTTGTTACTCCCGAAAAATCCATGCAAATTATGACAGGATCAACAGTATAATAAATCTAAAATTATATAAGATATAAGTGTATCCGTTAGAAAATAAAAGGATAAAAGAAACAGAGTGCAGATTATTAAAAAGAAACATATCATGGTAGGATTTTTAAATGTTAATTAATCGATGCAAAACTTTCTGAGAAAATATTAGGGCTGTGACTAGGTTGAATATGACCTGGAAGGCTATTCCAGTTGCGGAAAGCTCTAGAAAAGAAAGAGTTCAGATGGTATTGGGTACGACAGTGAGGTATGAGAAAATTTAAGTTTCTGGTAGGAACTGAGTGAATGTGCGCGGTCTTGCTGATGTTGAAGTTGGTATAAAATATCAGTGAATTATGGAACCTTCTTTGAGACAAAACATTCCAATAAAGTTCCTGTAACATATTGGTGACGCTACTTGTGAAATCATAATTGTTACATAATACCTGCCTGCAGTTATGTGTAGATTTAAGATGTTTGCATGCCAGAGGTGCCAAATAATTGATCAAAATTTTGACTTGCGCTCTTGTGAACGTATTTATATAAGTTCTGTTTGCAGCATCCTTCTCAACCATTTTATTTAATGAAATTCCAGGGCCTAGTCTCTCTCCCAAGATTTAAACTTAGGCCTATGAAGATAATTTTAAAAGAGTTAATTTCAAGAGATTCTGACGGAGAAGTGATCGAGTGTCATTTGCACTAGGCCTATGGTGTACGTACAGCTAAGAGCATCGTCGGATACCCACGATTGATAAACATGTCACATAACATGCAAATAAATGTGATAAATGTTAATGGTTCGGCCGTGGGTATCCGACGATGAGCTAAGAGATGGGCCTTAGTGGTAGATCGTTGATGTATGAAAAAAGAGGAACAGACAATGACAAATGACGAATGACGGTGAACTGGGAACACAAGATAGTATAGGATTTCTTTGATAGGCCGGTGACCTTCTACCGCTGAACACTGTTATGTTACTATTGTTAGCCCAGTCAGAATTTCTTACTTTCCCGCCATTTGAACAACAAAAATGCCACTCGTATGTTAATTCTTTTTAAAGAAGCAAACTTGTAAATAATAACATCGGACTTAATACGGGCTGAAAGTAGTTTTAACCACGGATTTAAATTACTATTAAATTGTAATATAAATCCGTGTTTTAACGCGTGAAAAACAGGGGTGTAATCATTGATAATTTGTATATAGATCTATTTGACATCTAAAGGAAAATAAAATATATTTTGTTAAGCAAATTTAAAGTGGATCATTTTACAATTTATATTGATTGGAAAATAAACATAACACTTATATTAATTCCTTAGATATATGTGCGGTTGACCATACGGCCGTTCTCAGTTAGAATTTACACCTTCAGTTTTTGCTTGTCGCCGCCGTCTATCTCATTTCTTAGAGATTGTTTTTCTCTAATTCTATGCTAATTTAAGAAGGTAGATGTTACGTAAAATAACACATAATATCTTGTTGATTTATGTTGAAAAAGTGTTGAATCATAATCATCTTAAGTTACGAAAATGACAGGTTCGTGACTGTCGCTGTTCAAATGATAAATAATGAATGTGTATTTAGATGCTTCATTTCTATTATTTCCATTTTGTTTGATGCCGTATTATATGGGAATAATTTACGAATATAAATCTGTAAATTAGACCTCTTTAACAATAACTTGTGAGAAATGGTTGATGAAAAGGGTTTGTCGCCGAATAGTATGAAATGTTCGTTATCGCCTTTACCATACATTGCAAATGAAGAATTTTTAAACATTTAACAACATTGAGTGATCTTTTTCGCATAAATATAACAATATAAAAAAAGATATTACCACCATGTGCATAGTCTGCACGATTTTTTAAATATTTATGTAGAATTTATTGTTGTCTCATGGTTTGAGTTAAGATTGAAAGGTTCGTTACCTGATTTTAAGGGTTTATGACTGTCATATGTAATCCTAACACATTAAATTTACTTAGTTGTGCCGCAATTAGTATATCATTCCGAAATTGTTACATTTTGTAGTTTTATAAGCAACATTATCGAAAAGAAATATGCTGAGAAAAGGTTCGTGATGAAAGGTTCGTGCGGTTATATCTTTTTCACGATGTTAAATACACTATACTTGTATGTAAACAGCTACGGTTAACAAACACATGTACTATGACGTCATTGGGATTGTGACGTTGCACTTCTTTCTAAAATGGCGGTTTAATATTTGCTGGGCATGTGATAAACAAAGCGAAAATTTTCATCAAAACCCTTCGGTAAGTGGCGTTTATATCTTTTTATTATTATAAGATATAAAGAAAATTTTCTGTTGCATACTGAGTCACAAACGATGTTGTATTCAAATAAAATGAGCGAATTTATAGCTTTATGATGTTTATCAATACCATTTTGGATAGCAAACAAGGAAAGGTTCGTTACCCTTAGTCACGAACCTTTCCTATGATAGTCTATATGAATAACATAATATATCTAATTCTGCTATGTGTATTATAATAATTTAGTTAAACCTTGTGATCATATCATGTTTGTAAAGAAAAAATACATCATATACATGTCTTATTCCTATCAGAAAATTTGAAAAAAGGGTTAATTAGCTGGTTTTCGCTTGAAAGGCTTATTTATATAAAAAATCATACAAACATTATATGTTTGGATTATAAATTTAAAATAAAAAGAAAATTATAATCAAATTTATAAAGATAAATTATATTTATGTGGGTAACATAATAGAATAATCATTTCTTTCAATGAAAGGTTCGTTATCATAGGTCACGAACCTTTCAATAAACAAAGTCTATTTCAAGCCAGTTATTTGAAGCTTCTGGGCAATAATAACTTTTTATTTCTTATTACAGAAAAATATGGCGAAGTCTAAAGCTGAAATCATGCGAGAATATCGTAAAAGAATGAAACAAGACCCGGAAAAATATCAAGAATATCTTTTACAAGCACGGAACAGAAAAAAACAAAATTGCGTAGCCTCCTCAATGTTACCAAAAAGAGACAAATTAAAACGCAATGCAAAGAATAAGGAGTATTTACAACGTTATCGACAAAAGAAGAAAATTGAAAGAGAAATAAGAGAGATAGATCATCAACCGACACAGGAGACAAGTGGTTACGACACAGGTAATTCATAAAAGTCTCCGCTTGTTGTCAACTTGCAATTTCCAAACAGAAGAAATGGGCCAAGAAAAAGATTATCCAGATCACTTGCCAAGAAACAAAAGGAACTAAGCAAACTTAAGACTAATTATGAAAGTCTACAGTTGAAATACAAAAGAACCCTCCGAAGTTTGCAGAGAATTAAAAAGTCAAAAAAAGAAACTACGGAAAGCACTGAAACAAATGTAATAAAAGTGAGTGAAGATTCAATGCAAAACGAACAGATATCAACGCCAAAATCAAAAACAAAGCATTTAATGAAAACAGCTAAACTTTCACACAAACAACAATCGAAAGTCAAAAAACAGCTTCTTTTCAGCTTTGCGGTTCAAAGTCAAATGCAAAAAGAGAAAAGAGGTATAAAGGCGACTGAAAAAGGTTCACTCAGGACGCATGTTGGCTCTATACTTAAGAAGTATGGCTTAAAGAAGTCAGTGAGCAGGCATACAGGTTTGGCAAGAAATTGTCTGAAAGGCTTAAGTATGCATAAAATAACTAGGCAGCGAGAAACTAGAAAATATAAAACGAACGTTTTTGAGTTTCTGTCTAGAGATGACAACTCCAGAGCTAACCCAGGCAAGAGAGACAAACTGAAGTCAGGAGGAGGAGTAGAGCAGACGCGAACATTAACTGATTATATGAAAAATCTACACCAAAAGTTTTTAAGTGAAAATCTAAATATAAAACTGTCGCTTGCCTCCTTTTGTAGACTAAGGCCTCGACACATAAAACTTTCTGCTTTCATCACCCGTAGCTCATGTCTTTGCACTAAACACCAAAATATGGCTTTATCTGCACGAGCATTAAGAGGATGTGGATTCAATGTACAAGTCAACCCAGAAGAGTTTGTGAAAGATGAAAATGTGAAAAATATCTTGGAGCAGGAACTGCCGGATTTAATAAAATTAGGACAGTGGAAACGTGTTCCAATTGAAGAAAAGGGGAGAAAGAAAATGATTATGAAAATTGTAGAAAATGAGTTTAGTAAAACAGATTTTTCTAAATACGTTAAAAACCAGATGCAAGAGTTCTGTGAACATGTATTTCGGGTAAAGAAACAGTATGAAGAAATAAGTCAATTGAAACAAAATCTGAATGATAACGAGGCAATACTCCACGTGGATTTCGCCGAGAACTACACATGTAAATCGGTTGAAGAAATACAAACAGCGTATTGGAACAAGACTGGAGTGACTCTCCATCCGATAGTGGTATATTTCAAAGGAGAAGATGGTATTCTCTCACACAAAAGTATTGAAATTGTTTCTGATGAACAAGCACATAATTCGTCCACAGTACTTGCCTTTTTAGATCAAGCAATCCCACGCGTGAAGAAGTTGGTCCCAAGCCTTAAGAGGATTCATTATTGGACAGACAGCCCAACAAGTCAGTATAGGAACAAAACTATCTTTGACGCAATTGACAGACATGAGCAGATGTACGGAGTAAAAGCTACATGGAATTATTTCGAGGCAGGACATGGCAAGGGTCCATGCGACGGACTGGGAGGACTTACTAAGAGATTGGCGGACGAAGCAGTCAATATGGGGAAAACAACAATACAAGACGCTTATGAGTTTTTTGCATGGACCCAGTCTTCTGATTGCTCGATGAAGAGTGTGGAGTTCGTTTTTGTCTCCGGAGAAGAATGCCAGAAAAAGACAGAAGAAATCGGACGCACCGTAGTTAAACCAATTCAAGTTACGATGAAATTACACGCAGTCGTGGGCGGAAAAAAGAACCTGGAGTTGTCCATGTTGCAGATGTGAGTTGCTACTGTGTAAACATTGTAGAACAGGAGAGTTATGTTTCGCACTGGAAAAGCCGCTCAATTGATCAGGTCTGATCGAAACCCCAAAAATGAAAACATGAAAATTTAAAACCATCAGAGCCTGAAATGTGACACCAACATTTCAGACAGAGATACACCCGTTCAAGATAAAAAGCAGCAAATGTTTACAAGGGAGAATTTGAAATTATTAAATAATGATGACAAAAACTATACCAAAAAATGAGGATGATTCCCAGAAGAGAAACCAGAGCCATTAAAGAACAATCATAAAGAAGGAGGATTTTGGTAGCCTGCCATTGTTAGATCAAATAGATGGTACATTGGAGAAGGGTTGCCGACATGTGATTGGTGAAATCGGAAATTTAACTTTATGAAATCTAACAAGTGCAACACTTTTCAGTGGCCAAAGCAGGCGGGAAAGACAAAGATATGGCTTAACCCCAAGGACATACTATTCAAAGGGTTAAAGAAGCCAAGACAACAGGAGGTTCGCAGAGGGCATTAAACTGAGAAAGACGATATTGAGTTTATCAAAACTTTGTTTTGCGCAGCAAGGGGAAGCATCGCAGTGAATAAAAACCCCATATTAGCGTAATTGACACAGATATATAAACTGTTCCATTTTTTGTATTTATTATATATTGTTCTCTTTTTTCCGAGTGGTTTCAATTTGAAAAAAGTTAATGTTTTATTAATTACAAAAAATTTTGAATATAGTATTCCCAAAAATTGCAATCTTTTTTCATTTGCATTTAGGTGCTTGTTTTTAAGAGCTTCAGAATTTCCGTTATTAAATATGTTGATTTTTTCTCTCCCAAATGCCCATTTCAAAAAAAATATTAGGTTTGATAAATGGAAAATGTTATGTAGGAAATAAAAATGATTGATTCTAAATATATCTTTAAAATTAATTGGATATTTTAGTAAAAAAATCTGTTTGAACGATGAAAGGTTCGTTATTTTACTTAAGAATCGAATTGTTAAGGAGGTGGAAAAGTAGATTAAAAATCTAAGCCAAACCATTCAATGAATTTTGGTGCCGAAAAAAAGTTTACTTTTTGATGGACGTTAATGTTTCAATTGTTGTAAAAGAAATTATACTGTGTTTTCATTGTCTTTACTTGATTTAAAGTTAAATTGTTTAAACGTTCAAAAACAAATCGATTTTCTTATTTTAATCCATACTTTAATCCATTTAATTTTTTCAAATTAAATGAGAAAGTGTTCTAACTTAGATCCATAGTTTTTTGGTACTAATCCATTATCATTTGTCTTTTTGTATGTCTTGGGTATTAAGTGGATATTTGCATTGGTTTATCTTTGAAAGGTTCGTTATATTTATATAGAACTTTAATTTTTAATGAAGTGATAATTTACGTTATATTGTATCAATAACAATGCATTTAACCAACAGCAGTGATACTAAGGTTTGTATTAACGACAAGAATTGGCATTAATTCTAAAGGATCGTAGCTCTTTTAATTATGAAACAAATTGTCAACACAGTTCAGCGGTATATCTTGATTTGCATTTTTTTGCATATAGGTTTTCAAAAAGTACATAAGCTTAATAAAGCAAGTAGTACATTATATCGATTGTTAATTTGACGTCCTATTTATCAAGATACAATTAAAAGTGACTCCCAATAAGATAGCGTTAATATAATTACAAGCAGCCCCTTTTAAAAGCATTAGGTACTTTGTCACGAACATTTCTAGCACTTAAAAAAGGTAGAATAGGTATATTTAATCAAACGGCCGTTTTAAAAAGAACACTTTATTGATGTTGAAAAAAATTTAAGAAGTGTTTCACGGATGGTGTAGGTATGTAAAAAAACAACAGTTTTGCATTTATTTAAACTTAATTTTTTTCTCAAATTTTAATAGGGGTGTAAATTCTAACTGAGAACGGCCGCATATCCGAAGTTTAACGGAAAGAGCCGAGAAGGTGCGATTTGTATCACGTGATCATGGTTAGATCATATTGCAGTTCAAAATGGCGGCTCGACTTACAGCAGAATTTTTAAAAGATTGGAAAAATGAAGTTAATCCTGATCTGCAGAAAGAAAGAGATACATGCACGTTTAATATCCAGGAGCTAACATTTCTTCTAGATGGTGGACAAGAAAAAACAAAACGAAGGAAGGAGTTGGGTAAATTTATATTAATTTTAATGATTATCATTATGTAAAATAATAAATTAATAAAAATTATCTCAAAATCAGAAGCAAACTCCAGAAAATAATGTACCAAAATATATTTATTGATATATGTATGACATTTAAGTAAAGTAAACTCAATATTACTTAATAATTAATGGATTAATGTAAGAACTAACATTATAGAACATAATCCATGATAATCTACATGTATAAATGTCCAAGTCGATATAACAAAAAGGGCAAGCTTACATTAATCAGATTCCACTATAATTTCAATAGCACATATAAACAAAATTGCCCTAAATGACATAATACACAAACAACAAAAAACTGACCAACTGCAACAGGTATATACAACCAGGTACGTACGTATATTAACGGTATCCGCAACTCTATACAGTAAATCAATAACGGTAAATTATGCTGTCGTGGCAGATAATCCATCCGGACTGCCGATCGTTATTGATTTTTATCACGATTACATATCATTAAGCGGAGTGATATTTGACCTTGGTTATTTAAATTACCGTCAACATGTTATTTTCTGTTCAATTTTTTAAAAGTGACATATTCTAGAAAGCTGAAAGATAGATTTTTTTAAATATATATTTTATAAATCAGTGCGTTTAGTATGAAGAAAATTATGACGAGTTAAACACAGAGTTTTTTTTTTGTCTCCCGATTATGTCAAAACTTCAGTAAAAATAATGATGCCCTCTTCGAACAAATATAAGTTTTTTTCGTCATTTATGGTCTGAATTTCGAAAAATACCTATCAAAAGAAAGCTGAGAATTTGATTTTTTAACCGTGTAATTATCATTTACAAAGCTAAATTATTTCCGGAAGTATCTGGTACCTGGTAGTAAAATAAAAGAAATAAAAATGAAAACACATAAGTTTTGCCTTTTATTTTATAACTTGATTTAAATAAAACTTCAATAGCATCGCACTGGCTATAAAATGACTGTTTATAGTGTTTTCATTTAGTGTCACTTTATTCCCGAAATTTATTTGACACTTCTGGGACTCTCCTGGCACAAGCTGCAAATCTTTGAACTTTTGGGCTGTATCAGCATTCAGTGAAATTGTCGCGCTGATCTACCACTTGAAACCCTTGAAACACATTTGTTACGATCTGGAATAGAAGAAATGACATTTTATAAATATTTTGTTTTATCAACACATGCAGAATAACCATGTACTAATGTTAATATACCTACCTGGAATAACTAACAAAAAAGAAGTTGAATATACCTTCTGAGTAAATGAAAAAAAAAATGGGGAAAAATTCATCCATTTTCAAAAAGACATAGCATCAAAATTACTCGGCTGAAAATTATAAATAATATCATAAACCATTTACTATGATGTAGTGACTAACTTTTCAGCTTTCATTTATATTTTAAAGGTCTTTAAATACCTCTGATGCTTCGGCTAAAATAGGTGGTGAATTTAATTATGCACCACAAAAATTTAACATTTTCCTTCAAATTCCACACCACAAAAACAGTAGAACAGATGATAAGGGAGTGTTAAAAGTACCTTCACGACATACTTTAATTTATTTTAAACCTATTTGTGCAAGTTTAGTCAGTTTTCTTCGAGTGGTTTAAGCCTGATGCAGATTTTATACGTGTTCACTCGTTTCAAACAAACTTTCCGCCATTTTGTAAATGTCATTCATCCAAAGTGGAATATTGCCAACCCGATTTACGCCATTGAAAGCATGATCTAGTAAAAATTTACATACATAACAAAGAAATAAGACTAACCTGTCATTATTTCTTGAGTATTTTGTGCAGATGCCCATAAATTAGCGCTTAATTAACATATTTTTCATGAACTGAAATTGTTGCCTTCCGCCATCGATTAATGTTTTTCGGAGCATGTGCACATGCGCGTAAATGGCACGACACCAATCACGGTCTAATATCTAGTTGCAGATACCGTTAATATACGTACCTGATACAACATACCTAAACAAAAAACATAAAAATAAGGGCTGGCGGGTGTGGAAAAATTTAACATTCCATGAATAACGTGTCATACAAACTGTACCAAAAACTAGTTGAAGGACTTATTTATAATAACCATGGATGAATACAAAAAACCAGTCAAGCAAATCAAAACAAGTCACTAATTTTAAAAGGGAGATCATCAAGCTTATCATCAAAATAGACTGTTCCTAACTATATAAGCCAGGTAACAGAAATAATAATAAAAAGCCCCTATCAATATTGATAATTAAAAGATTTTATGTTTAACAAAAAATACTTCAAATTATCTCAAAATCAGAAGCAAACTCCAGAAAATAATGTACCAAGATATATTTATTGATATATGTATGACACTTAGGTAAAGTAAACTCAGTATTACTTAATAATGGATTAATGTAAGAACTAACATTATAGAACATAATCCATGATAATCTATAAATGTCCAAGTCAATAGGCAGACTTACTAAATAAACAATTTGAGTCTGTCTTCTCCCGCCCCCAAAGATTAAGTCAAAACCTGTCATGCAAACAATTGCTCTCTCCACAAAACTATCCAAAAATGCCAAATGTCAACATAACAGAGGAAGGAGTAAAGAAACTCTTCAAAGGGCTAAATCCAAGCAAAGCCTCTTGCCCCGACCAGCTGTCCCCAAGGTTATTGAAAGAACTTCATACTGAAATTGCCCCAGTTCTCACGCACATCTTCCAAATTTCCTTAAAAACTGGTACTTTCCCTCATGACTAGCATCGTGCAGTCATTGCCCCTATTTATAAGAAATTCCCAAAATGTAAGCCTAGTAACTACAGGCCTATATCACTTACCTGCATTGCCTCTAAGCTAATGGTGCATATAATTGTCTCCAATATCATGTCCTTCTATGATAAGCATGGTATTCTCAGCAATTTCCAACATGGTTTCAGGTCAAAATATAGCTGTTAAACCCAGCTTATCAGTTTCACCCAGGAAGTTAATGACAATTTAGAGCAAGTATTTCTTTAAACATAAAAAATTTCGTAAAACGCAAAGATCACACTAGTGAAAGTTTAAATTGTAATTGGCAATCATCAATGGATTTAGGAAAATAAAGATATAATGTAGATTGTCTTTAAGTCATTGAAGACAAAATGGTAATTCTAATTTTTATTCTTTGCCCTTCCAGAAAACATTTTGTTCACAAAGTATGCAGATCTGTTTTCGTTCAAAAAGCGACCCAGTCAGAATAAATCTGAGATGTATGAATCGTCTGTTGCCAAGTCTGTAAAAGTTTTTCAAATGAAAAGAGAGTATGGTTGGACAGAAGAGGATTTTGATATGACTACAAGGTGAGATGTTAAAACTTTCAAGAGCAAAACCTCAAAAACCACCAGAGTCTTTTTCTCCCAAAGGACTTTTCTCTGCAGAGATTATATAGTATTCTCTAGAATAACTCACAAACTGTACCTTGATATTTATATACATTGTTCTATTTTTGGTGCAAGTAGTGAAGTAAACAAAATGAAAACTAAAGACTTGTTCAGTCCTGTTTTATTTTGTTATTGTGTGTATAATAAGCTGGTAGTGTTGTGTTTTTGAACAGTCCAGGAAGCAATTATATACAATAATATATTAGCAGTGAATTTCCTTCATATCTAACATAGACTGCCCGTAAAGGGCGGCCCTTTACAGCCTTTTCCCAATTTAAATTTTCTTTTAAATCATACAGTTTTCCTAAAAATCTGAACTAAACAACAGCTTATTTACTTCCCAAATTGCAGTTTTAGCAATATTTTTTCCCAAAATCAAGAGGCTAAGGTCTCTTCCCATTTTAATAAGTGAGAAAACCCTAATGAAATAATTTTACAATCATGCACATGTATACTATTACTAAAAAAATGCTGTTGAATATAAGTAGTAATGACATTTTAAGTTCCCTTTTTAGCTCGACTATTCGAAGAATATGAGAGCTATTGTAGTCGCCCCGGCGTCGGCGTCAGCGTCCGCGTCGGCGTCTGCGTTGGTTAAAGTTTTTTGTAATGTCAAATATCTCAATTATTACTTGAGATATTCAATTGAAACTTACAATACTTATTTATAGTAACAAGGTACATCAGATTGACAAGTTGGATAACTCTGCCTACAATATTGACAGAATTATGCCCCTTTTTAACTTAGAAATTTTGGTTAAAGTTTTTTGTAAAGTCAAATATCTCAATTATTGCTTGAGATATTCAATTGAAACTTACAATACTTATTTATAGTAACAAGGTATATCATATTGACAAGTTGGATAACTCTGCCTACAATATTGATAGAATTATGCCCCTTTTTAACTTAGAAATTTTGGTTAAAGTTTTTTGTAAAGTCAAATATCTCAATTATTGCTTGAGATATTCAATTGAAACTTACAATACTTATTTATAGTAACAATGTACATCAGATTGACAAGTTGGATAACTCTGCCTACCATATTGACAGAATTATGCCCCTTTGGAACTTAGAAATTTTGGTTAAAGTTTTTTTGTAAAGTCAAATATCTCAATTATTGCTTGAGATAATCAATTGAAATTTAAAATATTTATTTATAGTAACAATGTACATCAGTTTGCAAAATTGCATAACTCTGTCTGCAATATTTGCAGAATTATTTGCCCCTTTGAAACTTAGAAATTTTGGTTAAAGGTTAACGGTCTTCAAAGATATTTACTTGAAACTTTACACATGCACTTAGGGTCATAATTGGAGGGTCATAATTGTATGTCACTGACCAAGTTCCATAACTCTATCATGCATTAAGGCTGATTCATATCCCCTTTTCTACTTAGTCTCTTCGTTAATGTTTACATGCAAGTTTTACATATCTCAATAACTATTAAAGATATTTATGTAAAACTTCACATATGCATTTAGGGTCATAATTGTAGGTCACTGACAAAGATCCATAATTCTATCTTGCATTTAGGCTGACTTTTCTCCCCTTTTTCAACTTAGAAATTCATGGTAAAGTTTTGCTTGTAAGCTGTTATCTCAATAACTACTAAAGGGTTTGTGCCTTTTTTGGGACAATTTTATGCATTCATAATAATAAAGTAGTGATTTACTTGATAAAACATCTTAATAACAAGCCTTTGTACCTTTTCTGTCAAATTTATGTATTCATAGGTAATTAGTATTATTATACTCAATAAAAAACCTTGTGACATTACCTTTCGAATAGTCAAGCCAATTCTGTATAATTAGACTCTCTCTAAGGCCTATAACATGAATTTATAAAGAAAAATTAGCCCTTTTGTTAACTTTAAAAATTTAACAATATCAAGGCTCTTTTACTATCAAGCACTTAGAATAGTCGAGCATGCTGTCCTACAGACAGCTCTTGTTATGGATTAGTATTGTTCTTTATAGAATATTAATATTGCTAGTTTAAATAAAGTTATTTAAGCCTTTAATTGGCAAAAATGCTTTGTTATATATAGCTGACATAGATATTAACCTTTGTAGATTATTATATAGCTAATTGAGTCCACTTCATACTGTACTATGGCTCTTAGAGTAAAGTCCATTTATTATTTACATAAATGACAAGTTGAACTTCCTTATTACTTAATTGATAAACATGTACCCATCTTGCAACTTAATAGTAATGCATGATTAGCTCTACTTGATTAAAGTGTTGACTTATTTAAAGTGAAACAAACATGTATTAATTTACAATCTAAGTGACATGTACATGTATATTACCCTATATTTTAATCTGAATAGTTGATGTTATTATTATCCCTGACCATGCTAAATATCTTAAATGGACTTTTCCATCTTTTAATCTGGACAGAATCATTCCTCAATTAAAGCAGCACGCCTCCAGATTCATGTTAATTTTTATGAAAATTTTGAAAATGTATTTGAATGTGTAATATTGTGAATTAACCAAGGGAAGCAATTTTCATATTTTCAATGGCACTTACAATCCCCTAAACTACCAAAAATTGGTCAAAATATGCATAAATAGGCTTTACTGCATTAGTAACTAAGGCAGTAGAAATATACCGGTAGTTGTAAATACTAAAAAAATCAGTCAATAATCGCAGGTAATATGTAAAATTTTACTTGAATCTTGAAACTTTTTACTTTTCCTTAATACATCTTACTTTAAGTACATATTTATTGAAATATTTATTGAAATATGGAGGTGTGTAGCTTTAAAGGGAAAATTTCATAATATGTGCAGACTCACTGAATAGCGAGCAGTGTCTTTCGGTGTAGACCATAATCAGATGTGCACAAAATGTGCCACTTGATCTTGGTCTGCATTGGCCCGCAGGGGTAAATTGCCTCCAGCAAGCCATGGGTTAAAAAGCTTGCTATATTACTTGGACTCAACTGATGTCTGGACAAGAGTTTTTGCATACTTAAATCTGGCTGTGGCTATTATAATTAAATGACATTAACTTTCTAGGCCAAGTGATTAATATTGTAGAAATTTGAACTTTATATCTATTGCAAAATGCAGTAAAAATAATTTCCCTCAATCTATTAAGAGTATAAATTTTGTATACGGGAGGATTTAAAAGGTGATGATATGTTATTATTTATTTATTTACTTATTTATTAATTCATTGATTTCTTTTTCTTTTTATCTATTCATTCATTTTTTCATATATTTTTTTCTTCTTCAGAATTTTGAATTATGACTTTGCATTAAGTCTTCATCACACAATGTTTATACCTGCCATTGAGAGGCTTGCTACAGATGAACAGAAGGCAAAATGGCTACCTTTAGCTCAGTCATATCAGATCATTGGAACATATGCACAAACTGAACTTGGCCATGGTATGTCAATTAAGCACATTCTTTCATGAGATTGATATATTCTACAGTATATAGTATAGTTCTATATATCACAGACTCAACACATAATGGTTGTATCAAATTGTTTTCACAAAATGTGACATTTAACATTTTCTGTATACATTTTCATTTTATTTTTATGCATATCTTTTGATTTGTATAATCAATAATATTATGGAGATATTCAATGAAATCAATAGTTATCAATAGATTGAAAACTTTGATGTTGCAAGTACATGTTAATAAGTATTCTGTTTTCTGCAGTTCCCGATCTCTTTAAAATCATATCCTCACTGATGCTCCAGTAATATATGTTAGGTAAATGTAGCTTAGGTGGTTATAAAAAAAATACCTTTTCTCAAACTCAGATCCCTGATATTTGATTGGTCAGAAGCCAGCACAGAATATGCATAGACCAATGAAAATCCGGAGATTTGAGACAGATCTCAGAGAAACGTTTTATAATCTTTAGGCCAAGAGTGAAAATTAAGAGCTGGGTTATAATATAGTTTAAAACATGCTGTAGCAAACTCAGACTTTAAGACATTGAACGCTGATATAGATAACAATCCTATCCGAATCTTTTCTGTACAGTATGACAGTAGAAAATTTCTTATTGACTGTATGTCAAATAGGCTGTTACATAAAAAAGTCTATGTCAAATACATGTAGTTTATTGTCATAAACATTTTACATGTTCATCGCCAAGTATAATAACTGGCAGTTTATAGTTAACAAAAGCTTTGTATATACTAGCACATTCATTAATTTTGTAAATAAATTCATGCACAAAACATAATTACATAATAATTACAGAAAAGTATGGTGATGGATTTGACAAAGTAGCATAATTACAAGAAATAACAGGGTAAAAACATTCTTAAATGTGCATATTGATCTTTATCAACACTTATCAATAAGAGACTGTTTTGCTGGAATGATGTACTTATGTTTTTATTATGACTTTATTTAAAGTGGAGTAAGTATTTTAGATTGGTGTAAGGGTAGATTTAGGTACTGCCTTAATGCACTGCAATTTCTGGTCACACCAATGAAAGAATACTTTAAATGCTATTTGTATATAATCAACATTTAGAGGTTGACATTAGAGGAAAAACAAAGAGCAATCATTAAGATGATGTATGTTATATACAATGTATCAAAAACTTTAAATAATATGGTGCATTTTGCCAAGTTTGAATTTTATGATAACTTCTGTATTTGTTCATTTGTATCAAAGATTTTATTCAGTTAAAATGTTTAAATTTTAGAAGCATAATGATTTAACTTATATAATAAACAATAAATTACACTGCTGTACAAAAATACAATGAAGGCCCTTGAGGGACTTTTGATGGAGGTTTTTTGTCCTTATGTCTGCTTTAACTCCATGCATGGGTTTCATGATTTTAGGTACAAATTTACTTGGTCTTGAAACAACAGCTACATTTGATAGAGCAACAGATGAGTTTGTGGTGAACACACCAAGATTATCCTCAATGAAATGGTGGCCTGGTGGTCGTAAGTATACATATTGATTGATTTGGTGGCCTGGTGGTCGTAAGTATACATATTGATTGATTTGGTGGCCTGGTGGTCGTACGTATACATATTGATTGATTTGGTGGCCTGGTGGTCGTAAGTATACATATTGATTGATTTGGTGGCCTGGTGGTCGTAAGTATACATATTGATTGATTTGGTGGCCTGGTGGTCATAAGTATACATATTGATTGATTTGGTGGCCTGGTGGTCGTACGTATACATATTGATTGATTTGGTGGCCTGGTGGTCGTACGTATACATATTGATTGATTTGGTGGCCTGGTGGTCGTAAGTATACATATTGATTGATTTGGTGGCCTGGTGGTCGTAAGTATACATATTGATTGATTTGGTGGCCTGGTGGTCGTAAGTATACATATTGATCGATTTGGTGGCCTGGTGGTCGTAAGTATATGTATTGATTGATTTGGTGGTCTGGTGGCCGTAAGTAATACTGTCTTGATTTATTGGTGGCCTGGTGGTTGTTAGTACATATTGATTAAAGTGATATTTTGCGGGTTTTTTGCCATCAAGTTGAGCTGCCTAAGCAATTTATTTAAAAAGATTGTCTTTTACTACTATACTGGTAATTTACTAGTAATTTAAAGTGACAAATGTTAAGAATAAAATATTTAAAAAATCTAAAATATAAAACCCTGCCCAAGTTGAAAGTTACTGTTAACTAACAAAATTCCATTGAGCTTTTTGGTGTAAAAGCTTTTAATTCAATTGTGAAAAACACATATATGTGAAAAAAAAAAAAATATTTTATTTATTTTTATTTTACAGTGGCAAAGTCCAGTACCCATGCTATAGTATTGGCACAGCTTATTATAGATGGTAAGAATCATGGTATGCACCCATTTATGTTACAGCTTCGAAGCTTGGATGACCATATGCCAATTCCAGGTAAATACAGTCAAACTGAAATATGTGGAAGATTTGTTTGTGTTTTGAAAAAAAAAAAGTAATTGCAAAACTTTAGTAGATCTAGTAGTAGTTATGTTTGTCAATTTTATGTGTGTGAGCATTTTTGTGTCACCCCAATAGAATATTGGCGACATACAGGAGATCACTTCTCCACATATTACACAAGTTTTCCATTTTTGACTGAGTTATGGCCCTTGAATAAATAAACGTGTTTTGTCCTTCTAATGATTTTTATGTCTCCTGCTATAAAGTAGCTGTATCATGAGGCAACACATGTGATCACTTATCACTCTTTTTCTAGATAAGATAGAGATTTCATATACTAGAGGAAATTACAATCATGACACAGTGCTAGGTCTTAATACTCTAAAACATGAATTTATGGAAGAATTTTCTATATGAAAACAAAAAAAGTTATTAAACTTGAATATCGCTCATTTCTGATTTTGAAAATACAAAGATAATTACATATTTAATACAAGTGACCTTTGTGGAGAGGTGGTTGCTGTTTGAAGTTAAATTTACACTGTATGATAATAAATAGGTATATTAATGCCCCTTGATTGTGATTTAAAAGTTTGAAGCCTTTTTTTGGTAAAACTGTATAGGTTTATTGAAGTGGTCAAACTGGCATAACTATGTAAGAAATCTTTAGAGAGACATTGATTAATTATACCCCCGCACAACAAAGTTGTAAGGGGGGTATACTGGAATCAGCTTGTCCGGCCGTCCGGCTGTCCGTCGGTTTTTTCTTGTCCGCCCAATAACTTACGATTCCTTTGACCCACAGTCTTCATATTTGGCATGGAGGTTAGTCATGATTAGTAGATGACCCCTATTGATTTTGAGGTCACCAGGTCAAAGGTCAAGGTCACAGGGGCCTTGACTTCAAAAAGCTTGTCCGCCCAATAACTTAAGATTCCTTTGACCTACAGTCATCATATTTGGCATGGAGGTTAGTCATGATTAGTAGATGACCCCTATTGATTTTGAGGTTACCAGGTCAAAGGTCAAGGTCACAGGGGCCTTGACTTCAAAAAGCTTGTCCACCCAATAACTTAAGATTCCTTTGACCTACAGTCATCATATTTGGCATGGAGGTTAGTCATGATTAGTAGATGACCCCTATTGATTTTGAGATCACTGGGTTAAAGGTCAAGGTCACAGGGGCCTTGACTTCAAAAAGCTTGTCCGCCCAATAACTTAAGATTCCTTTAACCCACAGTCTTCATATTTGGCATGGAGGTTAGTCATGATTAGTAGATGACCCCTATTGATTTTGAGGTCACTAGGTCAAAGGTCAAGGTCACAGGGGCCTTGACTTCAAAAAGCTCGTCCGCCCAATAACTTAAGATTCCTTTGACCTACAGTCATCATATTTGGCATGGAGGTTAGTCATGATTAGTAGATGACCCCTATTGATTTTGAGGTCACTGGGTCAAAGGTCAAGGTCACAGGGGCCTTGACTTCAAAAAGCTTGTCCGCCCAATAACTTAAGATTCCTTTGACCCACAGTCTTCATATTTGGCATGGATGTTGATCATGATTAGTAGATGACCCCTATTGACTTTGAGGTCACCAGGTCAAAGGTCAAGGTCACAGAGGCCTTGACTTCAAAAAGCTTGTCCGCCCAATAACTTAAGATTCCTTTGACCCACAGTCTTCATATTTGGCATGGAGGTTAGTCATGATTAGTAGATGACCCCTATTGACTTTGAGGTCACCAGGTCAAAGGTCAAGGTCACAGGGACATCAAAAAGTTTGTCTGCCCAATAACTTTAGATTCCTTTGACCCACAGTCTTCATATTTGGCATGGATGGTGCTCATGATTAGTAGATGACCCCTTTTGATTTTGAGGTCACTGGATCAAAGGTCAAGGTCATAGGGACTTTGACTTCAAAAAGTTTGTCCACCCATTAACTTAAGATTCCTTTGACCCACAGTCTTCATATTTGGCATGGATGTTGATCATGACTATAAGGTGACCCCTATTGATTTTGAAGTCACTTGGTCTAAGGTCAAGGTCACAGGGACCTTGACAAAAAAAGCAGCCTTTCTTCTCAATTGCTAAAGAATGTCCTGTCCGCCATGTATTGATTTTGACATTTTTACATTTGAAGCATGTAGAATACATAACTTAGCAATGCACTGGCTTAGTAACCTCAGATTTGGCAGGGAGGTTGTCCTTAAGCTCTAAATGGCCACTGTTGATTCTGACAAAGTGGTGTGTGGGGGTATTCACGCCATGATAGTGGCAGTTCTAGTTTAATAAGAATTTTACTTTTATGTGGTGCATTGGAGCAATATTTTAATTTCCCTAATCTTTAATAAATGCTCAACTATGTTTAAGAATGTTACTAAACTTAGATACAGGAGAACAGTATATTTAGTCAAGTTTGTTATTTGCAGGTATAAAAGTTGGAGACATCGGTAAAAAAGTAGGTGCAAACATGGTTGATAATGGTTACCTGATCTTGGATAAAGTTCGGATTCCTCGGCAAAATATGTTTATGAGAAATGCTGTGGTAAGGGAGTAGATAAAAGTTATTAGAACAAGCCTTTTTTAGAACTGCTTATTTTGAGGAAAAGAAGATCTACCTAAGGAAATTTGAAAAAGTTGTATCTTGAAATTCTCTTAAAATTGGGGGGGGGGGGGGGGGTATTGGTAAAACAGAAAAACAGAATGCCATAAAAACGTTTTACACCATTGAAGTTAAAAAAAAAAGAAGATAAATGTAACAATATTTGTCTCAGTTTTACTCTATTATTATTTATTCATAAATAAGATGTAAAGAATTGCCTGTAATTTGCAGGTTTTATTTTTAGCTCGACTATACGAAGTATATGGAGAGCTGTCCTACTCACCCCGGCGTCGGCGTCCGCGTCCGCGTCCAGATTTTAGATTAAAGTTTTGGTGCAGTAAAATATTTTTCACTATAACTTTGTCATTTCTTAAGGTATCAACTTCAAACTTCAAATATATGTTCCTTATCATCAACCACATCTTATGTGACAAGGTTCGTAACTCTAGCACCAATATTTTCAGATTTATCTCCCCTTGAACTTGGAATTTTCCTTAAAAAATACTATTTTTTACTGTTACTTCTTTATTTCATAAGGGATCAACCTCATACTTCAAATGTATGTACCTTATCATCAACCACATCTTATGTGACAAGGTTCATAACTCTAGCACCAATATTTTCAGATTTATCTCCCCTTGAACTTAGAATTTTCCTTAAAAAATACTATTTTTTACTGTTACTTCTTTATTTCATAAGGGATCAACCTCATACTTCAAATGTATGTACCTTATCATCATCCCCATCTTATGTGACAAGGTTCATAACTCTAGCACCAATATTTTCAGATTTATCTCCCCTTGAACTTAGAATTTTCTTAAAAAATGCTATTTCTTACTGTTTCTTCTTTATTTCTTAAGGGATCAACCTCATACTTCAAATATATTTACGTTATCATCCTCCCCATCTTATGTGGCAAGGTTCATAACTCTAGCACCAATATTTTCAGATTTATCTCCCTTTGAAATTAGAATTTTCCATAAAAAATATTATATTATTTACTGTTACTTATTTATTTCTAAAGGGATCAACTTCATACTTCAAATATATTTACGTTATCATCATCCACATCTTATGTGACAAGGTTCATAACTCTAGCACCAATATTGCAAGAATTATCTCCCCATAAACTTAGATTTTTTTACTAGAAAAATGTTATTTTTTATTATAACTTTTTTATTTTTAAAGGTATCTACCTCAAACTTCAAATACTTATTCCTAATCATCAAATACATTTTATGTGACAATGTTCATAACTCTTGAAGCAATATTTATAGATTTATCTCTCTTTGAACTTAGGATTTTCTTTAAGAAATATAATAACTTCTTTACTTTTTAAGGTATCTACTTCAAACTTCAAATATATATTTCTTATCATTACACAAATACTGTGTGACAAGGTCCATAACTCTAGCATGACTATTTCTAGAATTATTCCCCTTGATCTTGGAATTAATGTTAACAAATGTTATTTTTTTACTATAACTTAATACATAATTATACATAATTGATTTTTCTTTCATAGTTTTGTCCTCCTTACTGCGTCCAGTATTTTATTAGTCGAGCTTCGCTGTCTCCTGTGACAGCTCTTGTTATCATGGAGCTTATTCACACTTAATAATATTTGCTGATTCTCACTGGAACAAAAATATACAATTTAAAGTTTTGACTTAAAAATAATTTTTTGTACTTTGGGTAGAAAATTACCTATTCTTGTAATTGGGAATGGGACCGATTATCTGATTCTTGTCAAGGGTAGAAAAAGGCCATAGATTTAATAGGATATTGGCAGATGAAATTACTAGTAAGGAAAGTTGAGATAATCGTGTGCTCTAGCAGTCTTGTAGCACTAAGAAAATGATCATTAGCCTGTTGATTTCGATAAATAAATTTTCAAAAAATAGGAATTTGATAGTGTAAGAAAAAAAACGATAAAATGATAGAAATAAAAATGTCTCTCTTTTACAAATGTGCAAAAACAAATCCAAAATTAACAAATTTAAAAACTATGTTGTAAAAAAAGAATTTGACTCTTGCTATGAGAAAGTGGCTTTAAAATCTTTTCTTTGGTCTTATGCTCCGAGCAATGGTTGTTCTGATCAGAACTTGATTTTAAAATGTAATGGGTCATATATTAATACTCCATTCAGGTTACTAGAGAGGGAAAGTTTACACAGCTCTCCAACAACAAGGCAAACTATGCCACTATGGTGCTTGTACGTGTTAATATAATAGGCTGGACCAAAGATACATTGAGACAAGCAGCCTGCGTATCTACCCGCTACAGTGCTGTGAGGAGACAGACCACACTAAAACCAGGGTATGTGAGTACTTGAGTTTCAAGATAACAGTATATCAATACATCCATTTGTAACTTGCTTGTACCTTAATATGGTTAGCCTTTCTCACCAGTAATGAACAAGGCCTCCATGGTTAATGATGTGCCATATTGTATGGTTCACAGTAAACATTGATATTTAATTACACTCTGTATATACATGAATACCTAGACATTTTGAAAATGATTTTATTTCCATTCTCAGAACCCCGGAGCAGCAAGTTTTAGATTTCCAGACTCAACAATTAAAGATATTCCCAGCAGTGGCGGCTTCATATGCTTGTCATTTTATAGGAGAGGACATGTACACATCTTACCATGCTGCATACGCTGAAATAATGAAGGGAAACAATAGGAAACTGGCAGAGGTATACCTTAAATGAATGATATAACCTTAACTTTTGCCGAATGCATGTTTATTATCTTGTTTTGATAAGGATCTATTGGGCCTAGTGGTTCAGATCATTGTTTTCAAATCACTTGACAGTCTATGCTGTGTATCCAATACCTAAAAGGACGGTCGGTGGTTCTGTTGAGTTACCTACTCATACCTGAAACAATGCACAGTTTGGGACGTCCATTGCCAAGTAATTAATTTCATTAACTTCAAGCCTGCCCCTCACTGTTGTGAGTTTGAATCCCAACAGTGTCTTTGGATTCTTTTATGTGAGGAAGATTTAAAGTTAGCTTACGGAATATTGGTGGTTCTATTCATGTGCCTGATTGTGCCTGAAATAATGCACGGAAGGGCACCTTAGGTTTTCCTCCAAAGTCGTCATATGACCTCTACTGTGTTTGTGTGACATAATAGACCCAAACCCCCCCCCCCCCCCCCAAAAAAAAAAAAAATGCATGGTTGAACACCTCAGTCATTCCAGCAGTAAAGCTGGAAATTCTCCCATTGACTTTTCTTCAGTATTGGTTTGACTTACAGATACATGATTAAACTTAAAGTGACATTATGCTCATATTTTCATAGTCAAGTTGAGCTGAACTGACTATATATTTCAAAAGATTGACTGTGAAAATGGTGATTGACCAACAGTTCATATTGAAAAATGTTTAGAATAAAAAATAAAATATAAAAAGACTGCCCCACTCTTTTTATGAACTGAATGTTACAGGTAAATTCTAATGGATATTTACGAAAAAATTCGTTTGGATCTGTGCGTTGATTATTGTTTATGTGAAATATAATTTTATATTACAAGGAATTATGGCAAAATGAAAGTTTATTTTGACTTTCACATGTTCACTTATTTATACCCTTGGATGGGCATAATGTCACTTTAAGTTAACTCATCATAGTATCTCTCTTCCCTTTTGTTGTTACATCTCATTGGCTATTTGAGTGAAAAAATTTCATCTTTATAGAAACTTTGATTTTCATTAGAATATGTATTTTTTAAATTGTAAATAGACAAACATCAAACAGTTATTTTTTTTATTCCATTCTTAAAACATAATAATTTTTGAAACCTTAAAAACATGGTTATAAATATAACCATTGCCCTAAATTAGATATGTTAGATATGTCACAACTAAATTCCAATACAAACAAATGGTGTTAAAATTTACCAAGTTTGACAACTACCTGCTTAGAATTTGGAATGGTATATTCAAATTGAAAATTTAATAGGAATTTCAACACCAATATACAAAAGTTGAACAACCAACAGTATAGAGCCTGGTCAGGCTGCATAGAAATACAGGTGACAAATACAGGTTGCAGGTGGATACAGGCTAATATCATTTCTGGTTCCTGTATGTTGATAATTCATTGATGTTAAAGCACAAATTTTCGTCACATCTTTTATACTATTTTTTCTGCTTTGACTTTTCAGTTACATGCTCAGTCATCAGGATTGAAAGCTTTTCTAACGGATATGTCAACAGCAATGGTTGAGACATGTAGAAGGTCATGTGGAGGTCACGGCTACCTCATATCATCTGGTGTTGCTGAAAACATGGTGGCTAGCCTGGCACTTGTTACGATAGAGGGGGAGAATACTGTACTGTATCTACAGACAGCAAGGTTTGGCAATCATAAAACTGTTTGTCTGAAAGTTGTTACATTAATTTAAACTGCTAGATGTAACATTATGGCCGAGTAGTTAATGCATCAGTCTAGTAATCCAAGGCTTGCTGTGTGCGTGGGTTCAAACCTGTCAGGGGCAAGCTATTGTTTCTGTGAGCAAGAATTTTTACACTCTTTGCTTAGTACTGGTTGTTTTCAGGAACAGTTCCAAGAGTGTTTTAATAAGCTTACAGCCAAATTAGTATCAACTTATTGTAACTGCAAAGAAAATCATTAAGTGGTCTCTTTTTATCTTTTGAACATTACCTAGACATCCAAAATAATATATATGTTATATATATACATGTTTTCTAAAATAAATAATCCATGTTATGTGTTAACTATCATTTATTACACCAGTTGATATATCTCACTAACATTTACTATTTTCAGATATTTAATGAAACAGATGGCTAATGCTGTCTCAGGTACTAAAACAGAGGGACCAACAGCTTATATGAACAGGGATTTCACATCATATGTATGCCCTATAGATACGAAACAAGACTGTAGAAATCTTGTGAAGCTCAGGGAAGTCTATACCCAGAGAGCGCACAGGTATGTCAGGTTATTCTGTTTCTATATGGGAAATGCTGTCTTGGTGACTCTGGTGCCAAGTAGTTAAATTAGCTGATTCTGACTCACTTCCCATTGTCACTCTGGGTTTGAATCCTTTCAGGTTATTTTTTTATTCTTACTCCTTTGAGAAGGTGATCAAGCCAGCTTTATGAAGTCTTTGATCTACTCAGGAGCCAGCTTGTGTCTGAAATAATGCACTGAAATGCACTTGAATTCTTAAGCTGTTAAACTAGGAAAACAACATAATTATGGCATTTACAATGCCAGTGCCACTTTAAACCAATCAAATTTTCTTTGTTAAGCCATAAAGTTCTGTCCTATTAAGAAACAAAAAAATGTTGATTGAATTCTGTAATTTCTTTAAAAGACACGATAAGCAATAAAGGAATAGCTGTTTTGAGGCTATGATTTGCTAAGCAATAAAAGAATAGCTGTTTGAGGCTATGATTTTTCGGACAAGCAATTATATGTTAAGTTTTAACATATCTATAAAACAAGTCTTAATCTCTATAAAAACCAGTCTAAAGAAAATGGACTGGTTTTCTAATAATTACCTATATTAGGAAATAGTCCTAGTATATGATATTAGTTTTCTTTGTGTCTTTTTTTAAGGGTTGTCATGTCAGTAGCACAGAAGTTACAGATGGACATGGAGTCTGGTTTACCACAAGAAGTTGTCTTCAATAAAAATATGGTGGCTCTTGTCAGAGCAGCTAGGGTAAGAGAGCTTAAATGTTATTAAAAATCTGCAACAATTTTGAACAAATTGATACACAAGAACCGTTTGAAAGGCGCAATGTATTGGTTCTGTAACACAGATCAAAGAAAATAATTGAAAGTTGCCTATTGGTTTTGACTTAAAATCCAACTAAGCTGTTTAGTTGAGGAAACAGTTCCACTCTTATATCTTAGGTTGAGAAAGTTCCCCCCACAAACCTTAGATTGAGATAGTTCAATTTTGTTTTTACAAATATATTTCTACTTGATTGTAAAACAAAATATTGCATCTAATTTAATTACACTGGAGTCTAACCAGTTCTGATGTGCTTTTTCACACTTACAGAATGTTTGCATCAAATACGCCTATACTTTCTATTATCTTGTCAACTTATGATTTGAATCAGCATATTTTACCACTAGAAAAAGCTTATAATATATTTTAATGCTTCCATTCTTAAGATGCTGTACTAAGTCACTTTGCATTATTCTTTTCCTAGGCACATCTGCATTTAACAGTGATAGATATATACATTACCAAGCTAGGCAACTTGAGGGAAACAAGCAGTACAGAGTTGTCTAAAGTTATGACAGAGTTGTGTAACTTCTATGTTATACATGGCATGGTTCAAGAATCTGGGGATTTTCTAGAGGTAAATATATCAGTTTTGTGTTTGCAGTCAGCACTTTCAGTCATGTAGCCTGAATAATGGCATTTAAAAAAAAACAATACAACAAAAACACTTTAATATTTATTTATGATTACACTGTACTGACACCATGGACAAGTAAACAAGGTGACAGGCTTCAATCACTTGCACCCTCTTTCTGTAGATTTGAATGTCAATAAGAATTCTTCTAATTCTTTCATGTGAAGGACATATCCTAAGAAAGGCTGTTAGTTTTATCATGCCTAAATTAACACTGTTTGGTCTCTGGAGGTCATTGGCTGTCGTTTAAGCTGAAAACTAGCCATATGAGATCTGATTATAAATATGTTGTCACTGTTTCAGATGGAAACTCTAGGGTTGTCACAAATGGACTGGCTTAGACAAGAAGAAATGGAAATGTTAGCTGTGCTCAGGTGATACTAGGCATTTGGTTTATTTCATTATATATATATATTTTTTTTTTGGCCTGGAGATATTGTGTAATGGATTTACACTGCTTTGAATTTTTAAACAGCCCATTCAAAGTTTAAGGAATTTCAATATCAACATACAAAAATAAAGCTTTGAACTTTATAGAGTCAGACTGCATAGATGTGCCGGTTGGCTGGCTCTATACTGGTGACTAAAATACTAGTCAAGTTTCAACAGATAAAAGGTGACATTTATCTTTGTAAATCATTTAGATTGGAATAGTTTATTGATTTTGAAATTAACCACGTAACTAATTGAATTCTTACTTTTTATCTTTGAGTAACATATTTACCTTAGATTAAACTAGGAATGATTAATGCTATCATTTCACATGTTTTGATTTTTTGAATTCTGAAATTGAGCACCCAGTAGTATAGAGAGCCTTTGAAACTGTACGGATTTGCTCAGTTCTTTTCTGTTGACATAGTTCTTATATAATTGCCTCCAACATTCAAAGTTTTTGAGTTTGAGTCATGAGCACCAGGCATATTCATTGTTGTAAAAGAATGCCAAGGCTTAAGAAAATACATGTAAAATTAGAAAATCTTACAAATATCAAATTCAGCACTTAAAAAACAAAACTGTTCAAAGAATAATGTACTCAGAATTAAATTTAAAATTTACTTGAAAGGCCCTGTTTGTGTGGACTATTAGCAAAACTCAAAATTTTATATACATGTAAATGAATGATTATGACCATGGCTCTATTGAAGTGTTAGCTAGCTTGTGTCTAAAGTAATAATATTTGATAACAAAATGGTGCAAAAGGTCCTCCACTCATGATAAAAGTCAAAATATAGAATATTAATGGTAGTATGTATTAGTGCGACCAAGAGAAAAATTTATACCAGTAATTGTTAAAAAACAACGTATGATAGAATATTGTGAATTTTTCAGACCAAATATCGTTGGTTTGGTGGATGCATTTGATATGCATGATGAGACAGTTGCATCGACCCTTGGTCAGTATAATGGAAATGCATACCAAAACCTGTTTGAGTCTACACAGTATGAGCCAATGAACCAGACAGAGGTATGCTCCTTACAAGTTCATTAATCTATTAATTTGAAAAGCCATTTTAGGAGAGAGTTGTTCCTGTTGTGAAAAGTATTTTACATATCTTTAACCTATCAATGTAAAACTAAATTTTGATGATTGTATCATTAAGTGACATTTTGTTCATCCAAAAGTATATAATGAGTAAAGAGGTGAAAACCTAAATATGTTTACATTTTGACAGAATTGCTTTCAATTTTATAGTTGACTTTGCATTAACGATAAATAACTTGCATGGCCAAAGGAAATTTCTGTAAATATCCATCAGACTTTACCTGCTATGTCCAAGTTATAAAAAGAATCAAACATTCTTTTTATATTTCATGCAGATTTATATTTTATCCTAAATATTTTCCAGTATCAACTGTTGGGTCAATCATCGTGATATTTGTCAATCTTTTGAAATATGTAATCAATTCAGCTTAACTTGACAATGTAAAATAAGCATAATGTCACTTCGAAATAGGTCATGAGTAGTTAGTGGAGACTATGATAAGAGTCTTATTAGACACTATACGCTAAGACTCTATACTAGTGTCATAGTTCTGCCACTTATGCTTCTAGTATTTGATAGCTAAATGAGGCGTGTCACGATAAAACCAACATAGTGCGTTTGCGACCAGCATGGATCCAGACCAGCCTGCGCATCCGTGCAGTCTGATCAGGATCCATGCTGTTCGCTTACCAACTCTATTACAAGTAGAGAAACTGATAGCAAACAGCATGGATCCTGATCTGACTGCGGATGCGCAGGCTGGTCTGGATCCATGCTGGTCGCAAACCCATTATGTTGGTTTTGTTGTAACGAGGCTCAAATATCTTTAAATTTAGGATGAGGAAAATCTTACAGTGGCTGCTGGTGAATAACAGAATATACTTACTTGCTGAAAAATTGACACAGTTATCTCTATAAAGGGTGGCCACTCTGTAGAGATTTCACTGTATTTGCTTTTTACAATTTATGTCAACTACTAAAATGAGGTGATAATGTTCAGGGCTTGAATAATAAATATCTGTTAGACTGTATTTCCAGTTTAATATCTTTTTAGGGTTTGACATCTTGAGGTTCGATTATTTTTCACAAAGCTGAATTAATGTTTTATTATTTCAGGTACATCCTGCGTATTACAAGCATCTAAGAGGGTTGTTAAAAGACCAGACTCTGTCCAAACTTTGATTTCTGTAGGAACATGTAGAAATAGTATATAAAGAGTTTAGACATTGAGATTCATTTCTCTGAGGCTAAATAAAATGGCAAGAAAAGAGAAAGTTTTAATTAAAAGTGACTGTGATTATCTTAAAATTTGAAAAAAAGTTGATTTTGTTATTAACAGACAGTTTTTGTGGCATTCTTTTAAAAACTAGTGATGTTTTAATTCTTTTAACAAGAACTTTTACATTTCAATCCTTATTTTGTTACACAAATCATGAAAACTCGATGTATTAAACTAAAGGGACACAACTGAGGTTTTTTTTGACATGACAAGACTGGAAATAAATTTTTGATTTATTATTCGCTCACTGTGATTTTCAAGAACAGTTATTCTAAGTGTGAAAAATGACCCAAAATTGAAAAGGGTTGCAATGCTTTTTACTCAAATTGGTTTAGAATTGCACATAATTACGATTTTCAATGTATTCCTGAATATATTCCATAATTATTTTTTGCATATCTTTTTGTTTTAAGTGCCCCAGCTGATTTTAGTTTTTTAAGGTATTTAGACCTCAGCGGGTTTCCTTAAATTAATGAAACATAAAAAAATGTGAAAGAAATTTAGAAACTGCATCATTTATGATGCCTGATCTTAGTTAATCTGGTTCCCTTCCTACATTTACAACAGAAAGTAGCTATAACATAGTGTAAGGGGAAGGAACTCCAGGTACGATCTGTGTCAGACAGTGTAAAAATAGAGAGCATTTGGTGTCCATGATCTTATAAGACCTGCTATTGATTTTAACTACATGTATATCTTAAACTGTATGTAAGCCATAACTATTTCGACATCAGTTCATTCCAGATCACAACATGGACTTCTCTTTCTGTTGGGTCATATATTTGTACAAGTGATACATATATGCTTTGAATTGTCAGTAAGGAGAGATAACTATTGTATAGACACTACACAGAAATGATGGCTGGTTTGTTGTGGTGCAGATATTTTAGCTTATTTGTAGTGAGGGTCAGCATGGTTCTATATTCCTGGTATAGAAAAAAAGTTATATTTTGTACTAGATCTTTAAAGGCTAAGCCATCTGTGAACAAAAAAAACTGATTTAAATAATTTTGAAATTGATTTGCTGCCTGGTGGAAGGTTATTGTTCTATGATATACAAATATGCCTTATATAATGCTGCTTATGCCAAAGGGGGTAACAAACACACACAATAAGGTTAAAATATTACATGCTTCAATGTGTATTCAGCTAATTAGATTGCATACTTGTGCATATCTTTGAAAAAAAATAAAATGATGATTACATGTTCTATATATTATGCTGTAAAAGATTTTTTAATTATTTTTAGCTTAAACTAAGAAAGTATTGTGCAGTTGTAGGAAGTATTTATCAAGAATTCTTACAGATTATTATAGCAATGCATAAATATTTATTATTATAAGAATATCATGTTAGTTTAGTCAGCATCTCTAGTTATATAACTTTACAGCCATAATCAAGACAGTGTCATATAACCTGTCAAAAATCTGTTAAAACTAATATTTATCCTGCTGGCTTATGCAAAGTCGGTGGTTCTACTCAGGTGCCCGCTCATGCCTGAAATACTGTACAAAGGGGCACCTGAGGTGGTACTCCACCAGTAAAGTTAATAAGAACCATATTACCTTTACAGTGTTGGGGCGATCAAACAGACAAATTTAAATAAGAAATGTGAAGACGATATGTATGTTTCAGGTCATTTGTGAGTTTTGCACAATTTTCTTATTTTTTTAAAAAGCTTAGATTTTGTAACAGTTTTTACAACGGTGTTTTGCATATTTGCATATATATCGTGAAATAATACACTCAAATTGCTTTGTGAGCTTAATAGGAGAATAGTGAGACTTGTTTTAGAAGTGTCATTTAATCATGCTATTTTAGTACATGTATACAAATTGTATTGTTGGTCTTAATTAAATGTTGTTGTTATTTATGAATGTTACACAATTATATTATATGATATAAAAATAAATCAATTTTGGCTTGATGTATTTCTTTGTGATTCAAAGACACTCGTGTTTTACGTCTAACATGTGTTCCCCAGCTATAAAAGAGTCCAAAAAATATCCTGTATTGTACAGAACAAAGTTACATGAGCCGCGTCATGACAAAACCAGACCAGCATGCGCATCCGCGAAGTCTGATCAGGATCCATGCTGTTCGCTTACAAACCCTATTACAAGTAGGGAAACTGATAGCGAACAGCATGGATCCTGATTAGACTGCGCGGATGCGCAGGCTGGTCTGGATCCATGCTGGTCGCAAACCCATTATGTTGGTTTTGTCATGGCGCGGCTCACATATACTACATGTAATTATTCTTTATCCAACTTGCGTTGATTCAAAACATAGCAAAGTTACATAATTATTTTTTATTTTCGTTTTTGCAAGATTCAGACATCATATACATTAACGGCTATTATCCTAGTCTCAACATCGAAAAGGTCATATGCACTCTTAACTGATGCAATTGGTCAATATAGAGAAACATTTTGGATACTATAGAGTTCATGGTCACATGGCACAAATTCATGAGTAATGGATATAGAATAGAGCTGTTCCAAGTCGCCCTGGCAGCGGCGCCTGCATCCGAATTTCTATTTGCCAGTTCTTGTGCAGAATAGTATTTATTACTACATCTTTGCTAGCAATAGTTTTTACTTTCAGTATATTTATTGTTGCATTTTGGTTGCGCGCCTATCTATGACTCCCTTTGATGATGATTTTTTTTTTTGGGGAAGTTAAGTATAGATACAAAAGTTGTCCCGTTTCAACCTTATCACATATGGCAAGGTTAATAAGTATCGCATAAGTATATTTTACCTGTGACTTGAAGTGGTCTTTTAAAATTGGAACTATAAAAATTATACTTTCTCATGTATCTAGCCTCTACTTTAGTTACTTACATATTACTTTATTACCAAGTGGATCTTTATATTGTATACAATACAAGATTCATATTTCATTAGCACCTGTTTTTAAAGAGTTACTTTCCCATCTAAACTTAAAATTCATACTCCATGGAAATTGCATGCCACTTTGTGCTTCAAAGGGAATGACTGGTGAAACTTCCGGGGTCCGTACTCGACAGCGAAAGCTGCTTTTTGTGAACTCCCGGGCGGATGGACCCTCATTAAGAACAGACTATAAACATAGATATACATTTTATTTACTATTTGTAAATTAACAGCTTAATCACCAGACTTACATGACTTCTGTATATCTTATAAGCATGCTAGCTAAATGAACGTCTCTTAGACACTTGTGAAAAATAAACTCATCTTGGAGAATCTGAAAGTTTACAGATATTAATGATTTTGAGACAATCTAGAATCGATTTCATATTTGAATATTATTAACAAGAGTTTTCAATGGCAAAAGAAAAACTAGGGTTAAATCAATATTTTTCACTTCTTTTAATTAAACAGTGCCTTAAACAAAACTATAATTCAATCAAAGACGTATACATTCTCTACTTATAATTCGATGTGACAAACATTTCTTTTAATTCATTATATACATGCATTTCAATAAATTTGAATGTCCAAATCGTGCATTCATATATTAGGAATTTACTCAGGTATATACAAGCATATCCCTAAAGATTATCTCTACTTTTAGTGCATGTAATACAAAGGATTTTAATGGTTCTTTAAGATAACGGAAGGAAAGACTAGTTGAAAGATAGCGTTTCTAGTTATCTAGTAACACAAGTCTTACTTACTGCAAAAGAAAGAAAGCCTAAAGCATATTTTGAGCCGTGTCACGACAAAACCAACATAATGTGTTTGCGACCAGCATGGATCCAGACCAGCTTGCGCATCCGCGCAGTCTGATCAGGATCCATTCTGTTTGCTATCAGTTTCTCTACTTGTAATAGTGTTTGTAAGCGAACAGCATGGATCCTGATCAGACTGCGCGAATGCGCAGGCTGGTCTGGATACATGCGGTCGCAAACGCATTACGTTGGTTTTGTCGTGACGCGGCTCATTTAACTTGTGCCATATTGATATATATTTCAAAACAAAGGACATGCGTAGATGATTTTTTATAAAAAATAGTCATCCATTTTTATTTTAACGTCTCTGCTTTTTGTGTCCCCAATACGGCACTGTTGATTATGATCCCTTAAAGACATATGCCCTCTGACCAAATTGAAAAAATTCAATTTATCAATAGTTAATAGAAGTAATTTTTTGTCTCAATTGAACTTATTGTTTATCTCTTTTTGTTATAGAAGACATTAAACATTTGATTTCCCTTTTCGGTAACAAAGTTTCTAAATTCAACGTTTTTGCATCTTAGTATTTTTACATCATACAGAACGTGGGTAATCTGATCTCTTTACCATTATACGTTTGGGTTGAGGTGTAGACGAGTTTATCATAAAGGCGGTGAGTCAAGTCCCGGATGAACGACAAAAAGTAAATCGTGTACTAGTAATTATACTATTTAGATTGTTTTGCTCGTTTGTTTTAAACATGACTAAAACGTATACTTAAAGCTCCTGTATGTTGTGATCAATTATATATATGTACATAATTATGCAAATAAAACAATTTTCAAACATCGAAGAATATGTAAAATATGTACTGCAAATATTCGTGAATATTATATGTAATCATTAAAATATATGCAAGTAAAAAAGCGCCGTGTAAAATCAGCATATGGAAGTCTGATTTCATGAAATCAATTGATATCTTGCATGAAAATGAATCATATTTATCAAGTTCTTGTCCCCATGTGAACAGTATTGTAATAATCATTTCTTAAGAAAATTTTAGTCCAAATATTGGACATTACTCAATTCTCTGTTTGCTTCACCTCCGTTGAATCTGTATTGTCGCGGGCCTCAGATTTATTGACTCCCCTGACACCTGTAAGAAATGAAGAGAAAAAATAATGAAAAACATTTTATAAGTATTTACAATACAGAACCAAGCATTAATACATCTGGTAATTTTACAATTGTTGAAAAATGTATACAATTGTTATACAAGTACAGCTGTTCGCATTACGCCAGCGAAGTTTTCGTATCTTTGTACTATTTTACAAAGATCTTGGACCAATATCAATAGATAGTTAGTCAACCGTTAGGACATGAATGATTTTTTAGTGCATACTTGTGGTTATATTATCATCTCCTATGGTTAAGTGATAGATTAATCAACGAAAAACAGAGCGTTATACTTTCGTGTGCTTTTCTGTACCAAATTATTTGAGCCGTGTCATGACAAAACCAACATAATGGGTTTGCGACCAGCATGGATCCAGACCAGCCTGCGCATCCGCGCAGTCTGATCAGGATCCATGCTGTTCGCTTATAAACCCTATAACAAGTAGAGAAACTGATAGTGAACAGCATGGATCCTGATCAGACTGCGCGGATGCGCAGGCTGGTCTGGATCCATGCTGGTCGCAAACCCACTATGTTGGTTTTGCCATGACACGGCTCATTTGAGATGCGCAGAACGCAATAAAACTTGCATACTAGCCGCTTCTAAGATGCACTTATGAATCTTGACTGACTGGAGAAATTAATTTTAGAACTTAAAAAAGTAGAAATTAATGCTAAATTACGCTTAATGTTAAGACCTTTAAGGGGTTCAGTTATAAAGCCTCATTTAGTTTTCTTAACAGCATCATTTGAGACATAGTAATTAAATAGCGTGTCAATATTCATGCTTTTCCAGCATATATGAGCCGCGTCATGACAAAACCAACATAGTGCGTTGGCGACCAGCATGCATCCAGACCAGCCTGCGCATCCGCACAGTCTAATCAGGATCCATGCTGTTCGCTTACAAACCTTATAGCAAGTAGAGCAACTGATAGTTTGCTGGTCGCAAACGCACTATGTTGGTTTTGTCATGACGCGGCTCATATATTTGTGCGACCATTTTTAAATTGCGACTGTCACGACTCTTACCGTGCTTTCTGGGTGTCTTTTCGTGTTTTACGACTTCAAGACTTTGAAAGAATGTCAACTTTGAACTAAGACGATCCTGAAACTTTTTCCGTACTTTCAGAACTTTCTCTTGTCTTTTCATTTTCAATTTCTCATTCGTTTTATTTTTTCTCTCTTTAGCATTAATCGACACAGTTCCATTGTTTTCATTTTCTGAATTTTTTGCATCCATTATTGTTCGTATAGCTTAAACAGTTACTATAGTAGTTTGTCTCTGGTTAAGTCAATATTATATATATATGCTTGTTCCCAGATGATCCACAATTTTAAAGTTGCCTTCAAGAAAAATTACTTTTCAGGACAATGAATGTGCAAGCATTAACGATAAAGCTTTATCGTGATCATTTTATAACTCAATAAATATGTCATTTTAATCCTAGTGTAAAACATTCAGCACAACACATTAACTAAAGCACTTCCATACTTTTTTTGGCTAAAATATATGTGTTAATGTTTCAGTAGCTCCAAGTATATGCATATATAAACTATTATTTATTTACAATGATAAGTATAGATCAGTTCCAACATTTAAAGCGACACGATAAACGACCACACTTGTCTCTGAACAACTTGTTTTCTTTTTCTTCTTGTTTCTTTCTTAAATTTCCTTTTCTTTGTTCCCTTTTTTTTCAAACGCGAAATCCTGATCTGATTTTAGTTTATATAATGAAATAAAATATATATTTAAAATAATCATCTGAATTCATTTAGGTACGTTAAACTTAAACGTGTTTATTGATTCATGCCTTTGTTTCAATCATGACATAAGGTATTTAATCATTGTAATTCATAATCGCTATCATAAAGACAATTCATCTTATTTATAAAACAATTGACGGTAGTGTAGGTAAAACAAACATACTTGTCGAACATCTAACACGTCATATCTAGTATTTGGTTTGTTTTACGACGCTTTCAAAACGTTTTTTTTTACCATATCTCAGCGGTTCGCCCTCCTAAACGTCTTTCCTTGATTACCTATTTTTACGCAACAGATCGGGTACTATAGTATACTTATCCCAAATGATTTCTGTGACAGCGGTGAGAGACAAATGACCATAACACTGAATTCATTTGAGCTAAGTGGACGCTGCTAGTTTTTGACAATGCGCACATTGCAAGAGCTTTAAAAGGACTCTACTGAGGTTTTTTGACATGATGGGACAGATAATAATTTTTCCAGATAAATGTACCATTTGATGTAGGTTTAGACCACCAATCTTTGTGCAAATTACAGATCATTCGCGCACTTCGTTTTTCCAGAATAACTATGCAAATTGTAAAAAAATGACCCAAAATGAAAAGCGTTTAACGCTTTTCACTCAAATAGGGCTAAGATACGATTTTCAATTTATTTCAAAGTATATTTCTTAACTATCTTTGACTATATTTCTGTTTAAAGTGTCCCAGCTCATTTATGTAAGGAATTCAAATGTTATGTTTTTAGGCTTTAAACCTCAGTGGAAGATTTATTTATAGGCCAAAAAGATTTTAATAGGACGAATTTTACATATTTATGCATATCAAAACCCTGCAATTGCAAAATAATAACCAACGAAAACAACGTAGGGAGGCAGACAGACAGACAGACGGACAGGTCGATCGACATGCAACGAGAAGACATTTATCTGGTAAGATTCTTTTTTTAAAGTACCCAGCAAGACTATAAAAGTACCCAACTTTACTATTTACTGCTATACCTGTTGTTCGCGGTATCCATCAAAACTAAGTGTTCTCTCGTTTACCCGGACAGAGGGACGAAAACAACACACAAGACCTTGATCGTTTTTTAGGACCGATTGATAGAAATCTTCCAGTTCAGAAGTAATTTATTATAAGTCACATTGGGTTGTCCCATTTTTTCAATAGGGTCATAATTCACAAAATAATCTACATGTAATTCAGTAAAGATCTGACCAGACAACAGCATCTGTTTTTCTTAGATTTGTATATGTTTTGCATGTGAAGGTTCCTTGATCCCCGCTGTATGAACATATCTTCAGATTATTCTTAATTCAAAAATCTACTGTTATACATGTTTAAAAGTTGAATACTGCTTAAGCCGGTGCTAGCGTGCGTGGACAGTAGCTTGCATTTTCCAGTACTGTCCATAAACAGGTTCAATCAAACCGAGTCTGCAACATTTTCAATTTTGCTGTTTTGGACTTTCCTTATGGGTTCTATTTTTCTCTATTCCGGGGGCAATGTAAAGCTAATTAAGCTAATTAAGTGGCTCCTGTGCGGGGTCAATTTTGATGATTCCATGGGTATGATTAAAAAGAAAAAATAATTGAAGAAAGCCGCAAAATAAATAATGCTACATGATAAATATCTAAGCATTGAAGATTGTTGTTTTTGCACAGACGACTAGCTGTGTCATATCGGGTTTAAATACGAAAGCGATCAAAAGGATTCCATCAAATGTATTTCACATTAACGTAAACTTAATGAAAACTTTCAAATATGTTGAAAAGTGGATATACAAATGTCTGTGAAAAATATACTAAGGTACAAGGCGTAAAATCCAAAGCTTACACTTTGTATTTATCGTCTGCAAACGGCAAAAGTTTGAATACTCGCATTTCAATGTCCTGGAGTGGTTCTTGCTGTTTCTCTGCTGGTACAAGAAACAGGTTGGCAATAGCTAGGTTATAAGCAGGTATTGATACATTATATGAGCCGCGTCACGACAAAACCAACATAATGGCTTTGCGACCAGCATGGGTCCAGACGAGCCTGCGCTTCCGCGCAGTCTGATCAGGATCCATGCTGTTCGCTTACAGACCCTATAACAAGTAAAGAAATTGATAGCGAACAGCATGGATCCTGATCAGACTGCGCGGATGCGCAGGCTGGTCTGGATCCATGCTAGTCGCAAACCCATTATGTTGGTTTTGTCGTGACGCGGCTCATATATTGCACTGTCGTCTCTGCGCTGACCAATTCTTTGTTTGTTGTTGACATCGTCAGTCGTAACAATGCTCTTATAAGAAACTTATGGATACAAATTAAAATGGTTGATGTCGTGTTGATAAATACATCAGTATTCATTCGGCATCAGGACCTTGATAATTCATCAAATTCAGTTCTTTTTATAACTGAGTGAATCTTCAGTTGCTGTTTCTGGTGATATGAATTGACCAATGCATTATGTTGTATCCCAATTTATTCTTAAGAAACATATGTAAGTATTAGAATTTTTGCTGAAAGATGAGAAACATACTGGGAATAAAAGAAAACAAAAAAAATCATCTTTTCTTTAACCATGAATTTTCGTTAAATCATTTCACAAGTAGCCTAGTCAACAGTCCTAAGTTTTCGATTTTTAAACATGTCTGATTTTTCTATCATTCAATTATTTCGTCATCATTTATTCAATTTAGAATGTGTTGGTGTCTGAAAGGGGACAACGAATATTTAAAAATAGATGTGTATTGCCATATCATAATTATAATTAAAGGTCATTGTATACACACACCGGTCTTTCAAATATCGACAGACCGGTTAACACTATGAATTAAAACTTTCTTTGTAAAAAAATCTCCTATCCAAAGCGTGCAATTTCAAACTGAAAGTATATTATCACCTATAAAGTTAAATTTATACATATATACCATATGCAATCTCATGCAATGTCTATAAATTTTGTGAAGTGGCAAATAGTGTGACGTGAATTTACATGTGTTACGAGGCACCGGATAAAATGTGTGTTATATATACTTATTTCTCAACAATTATGTTGACTATTTATTTGCTAATAGGTATAGCTATAGATTTACAATACAATTTATTTACGCATTTTTACAACAAGTATCTCAATGTCTGGTCCGTGATTATAAGGGATCTGGATTCTTAAAATGCCTTTTTTGTGACAATCTTGACCACAAAGCTATAAAGGCATCTTTTGTGTTTTTGCTAAAAGCTTTTTTTATATGATACACTTTTTACCTTCTGTAAGGAGGTACGTGCTCTTTTTGCCTTACGTAGATTGTGCATGCGCAGGAATACTGCTTTCCGGTCGATTTTACATAGCAGCGGAGAGCGTCGTAAAAGGGTCTGTAAAAAATCTTTATACATATAACTAAATTGGCATGTTTATAATCAACATCACTTCCGCGTCATTACTTATTTCACGGTAATGGCATATTTTTATGTGACCAGTGTTAAAATTGGTCAGAATTGACATATTTTATTCAAACACCTAAACAACAAAGTTTTTGTGCAAAATATTTTAAATCTATAGATTTTTACGTAAAACAGAACAACATTTTACAAACTTCTGCAAAAAACAATATAGTCCGTTAAATTTGTGCAGACGTCTTTTTTCAGAAACAATCATCATTTTCTAAATGTTCTTGTTTGTTGAAAAAATAAATTTTGAGTTACAATGTAAAGAAACTTTTAATATTTAAAATTATGCAAAATAACATGTAGAAATTTTAACTGAAACATGAAAAAACTGAAATGTAACACAATAACCACGATTTTAATGATGACATACTGTTTTCAAAATGGCCGACATATTCATTAAAGTTGAATTCAAATGACCGAATATATTGTTAATTATTTCCTTGTGTCATATACAGCAGAAAATATCTATATGTTATAGATTATGACAATTTTTGTACCATAAGTTTCAGGTGTTGTTTTCTTTCTGGTTAGAGGTGCACAGTATACATACATAGTTTATATCAACGTCACGATAATTACAAACGGCGTTACGCGCATTAATTATGATAATAATGTACTAAATGACCCCAAGGACGTTGCCAACTTTGACTCTGTCAAATTGGAAGCTATGTACAGTGTAGTTTAGTTTTGAAGACGAGTCAATGAAACCTCGGTCAATGACCACTTGGACATGCGAGCAGTTCACATATACAGAAGCAGTACCCGCGTATTTCGTCTAAACGCTTGATTTTTTCTTGCATTCTTCAAAAATTGATATAAAATCAGGCAGATGCATAAACCATACAAAATCTTAGAAGTGTCAGTTCGGTAGTACGTATAAAAAAATTCATTTTAATTCACTTTCACCTGTGTGTTGTCAAAACGCGACCTTGCTAACTTTGGGGGATTCCGTCCTTGCGCGCATGCGCAAAAATACATGTGAGGCGTCTTAAGAGATATCTACTTACACCACCTGTGTCCAGATAGGTTGGCAGTGCGACGAAAATCTGTTTAATTATCAGAATTTTTATCTATATTACTATATTAAATAATTTTATGACTTTGCTGAGTAAAATATTATGCATACAAGCATGCCATTACATGTGAACACAGATATATTTAGCTCCATGGAATGAATGAGTTGGGCCCGGGTAATATGGTACCGGGTAATAGATATCAGCGTTTAGTCTATGTTCTAACTCCTGAATTACATCTATTTACCTCTGGGAAAATGGTCTCTTCAACAATTATAAATGAAAATTAGGTCTGATATATCAACATTGTATAATAATAATGGGCTATATTTTATGTACGAGAACTACTTCTCTTCATACAAAATAATGGTTAATTTCGGTACCCCATATGAGGCCTCATAACTAATAGTTATTCTATGTTTAGAACATAATGGAATTTCCATAATTTGTGTGAAGGGCCGAATTTTGATGTGTAACGTTCAATTTTTTGGTGAGTGAGCGTAATAAAAAATAATTTTAAGTAGATCTATTCTCTAACTACGATTTTTGTACGGTAACTGCTCGCATGCTATTTACTTCAGTATAGCGCCATTTTGTCTTATTTTAGGTTATGAACACTTCTGTAACTACACTACTGTACCGTATTATGTTTTGATACCTTATTTCTAATTGTAGACACAAGAATATTAAAGGAATAAAGAAGGTACGAAACGTAATGAGTTCTTTACAGTATAATGTTATAGAACCGTGTGCAAAGCTAGGATTTCCCACTTTATCGTGCCGTGTGCAAAGCCATTCATTTACACAGCTTGGAAGAGCGTGGAAGCAGTTTTGCGGAAAGGGTGAGATTTCTTATTATAGAATTAATGTCTTCATTTTATTTTAGCTGCTTATTTGAAAACAAATACTTAACTAGTTTATGTCGTTGTCAGCATATCAGTAGTAATTGGTTATAGTTTAATTAATTAAAATGAAATAAATGTGGAAATTCGGCATGGTCTGGTAAAATGATTATGGTGGGTGGGGTAAATAGCATGAAACTTTGTGGTTTATTTTTAAACATGCCGAGATAATAATTGGTTGTGTTTTTTGGGAGAAATGTTGCTTTAATAAATTTCTGAAACATCGCCGCTGTACAAATTATTATGGCGTAACCATTATTTTGGCCAAGTTGCTGGTCACGTGGTTACACTACCCACGTGGTTAGAGAAACGCAAGCGCGGATAATAAATAAATTTTAATGCGGAAAGGAAAATATGGTTATTTTGAAATGAGCTTTGATCAGCCAGTGTAGCCATCAAATTTAAATGTAAATCAGCAAAATTATAAACTAATTGAATACATCAACTTTTCCTAAAAGATCTAGACTTTGATTAGAGAGCATTTGTTGACGGATTTTTCTACATTAGAATAGATCTACGTATATCCACAAAAATTCTGTGCATTTATTCATTCTTTTATCAAGAGGTTGTAAATACACCATTTATGATATTTTGAGACTGGCTCTATTGTAATGTTGGTAGAAATATTGTCCCACTTTCTTAAACTATTTAATTCACAATTTCTCATTAATAAGAATTGAGCTAACCAAATTTATACTACATTTTAGCAAATGTTCATAATGCTGTGATATTTATGGGCAATACACCCATAAACACTTTTCATATTAACTGCCTAAATAACCGAGGTACATCGAGTGAAAAAATAAGAGTTGTTTCCCTTATCTTCGAGTAAAATCGATATGTCTAATGCTAAAACAATACAAATTAAGCCATTTTTAAACCGCTAGTTTGTTGTGATTAAATGTCCGATTTTAAAAATTATTACATCAATGGAAAGCTTGGGATCTTAACTTTGTCACAGTATATAATTTTTCATATCTTTTGACACCAAAGTATTTAAATTAATTGTTAAACCTACCATATGCCAAACTATTTTACATATGATTTATACAGTGAGATACGCAACTGGTTATCTTTACTCGAAAACCTACTGATAAGAATAGCCTGTCGTCTGCTAGTTGGGGAAAGTGTTTATTGGTGTATTGATAACATTGGTACATGAATAAGCAGCAAGGAGAATGTTATTTTATTTGGCTAATTGGGATTGAATTATCATTTGTTGAAGATTCTATTGGGTATTCTTCTAATAGTACACTAGAGGATCATAGTAAAAATAACCTTAATTTCAGGGAAAGTATCTTAACACTACAAAATATTGCTGTGGTGAGCCGCATGAATGACAACTATTGTCTTTATGTATTTTGTGTGGTAAATTCAGCCTTTGCAAACCATTTTGATTTTTGGGGGAAAGTACCTTGTCCAGTTTGGGAGACTTTGTATTGTAATTTGTAAATTTGGAGAAATATGTACCTTCCGACTCTTTGGCACAATCTTTTGAATGGAAGTGTATCTATTGTGAGTAATAAGATTGTCATTAAAATGTGAGGAAACAACTTCTGTAATGATACAAAAGGATCTCTGCAAATTTGCCAGTATGGAAATTGGAAATTTTAGGTTGATTGAGATATGTCTGCTATTGAGAATAGGTCTAGTTATGGCTATATCCTGGATTAGACCCCTGGGTCTAAACCAGGAGTATATATAAGGTTCATTTCTTATTCTTTAGTGTATTATATACAAGTTTTACACCTGAAAAATACAAGGGATCTAATCCAGGCGATTGCCGTATGGTCCACTATGTTAATGTAATTTAAAGTTTCATCCACAATCAGTTTCACAGAATTGTCTTGCAATCTTTTATTTAATTTTTACCAAATTGTCAAATAATTATGCTGGTTTGAAGATGTAGTCCTTAAAACCAACAACTGGAGTATATGAACATTGCAAGTTGAATGAAATTAACATTTTTGAATAAGTATTCAGAGAAATGAAGTTGAACATTTAGCAGTTGGCAGGGACGGATGCAGTACAGGGAACCAGTAAAGGCAGTTATAGGACATATGAATGTTTTAATGGAAAAAGTGCAGATTGATTTCAGTTGACAGCAGTGGTGAAACATGTATGAAGACGACCAAGTTATGTGTTGTATTCTGTGTATTTTGGCAAGTGAAATACGCTCTTGCTCCTGTCATGTCTTCCCATATGGAATTTGTGACCTGGGCAAAGTGTTGGAGCTTGAACTTTGTTTGTGTAAACTTTACCTATGTTTTGAGTGGCTTTTGACACTGCAATTGCTTGTGTGCTGTAGGTGAAGTTGAGAGATATAAAGTTGAGATCAGAGTTGAGATTAAGCGTAGTAGAATCAAGTTATCATCATGAGCGATAGAGAATGTTACAATTGTGGTCAAACCGGACACATATCTAGAGATTGTCCGGAAGAGAGGCAAAGAGGTGGTGGAGGAGGAGGAGGCCGCAGTGAGTATTTTTTAATGCAATTTAATCTTTGATTTTGTTTATATTTAATAACAATTGCTAAAAGTAAATGTACATCTGAAATTTCACTGAAATGGCTTCGATAAATGATGAATAAATTTAAGGTAACTTCATGTTTCAGGGGGTGGTGGTGGTGGTGGTGGCAGTATGACCTGCTACAACTGTGGTGAAGCTGGACACATGTCGAGAGAATGCTCTAAGGGTAGTAGTAGAGGTGGTGGTGGTGGCGGCGGAGGTGGTCGATCATGTTACAATTGTGGAGGTTCTGGCCATCTTGCTCGTGATTGTGACCAGCAGTCAAAGAGTGGTGGTGGTGGCGGCGGTGGATATAGGCGTGGTGGTGGTGGTGGAGGAGGTGGTGACAACAGGGAGTGTTACAAGTAAGTCAGTTAAATCTTTTATTTTATCAATCCAGGGTGCATTTACCAAAGGGGGTTGCAGCAGTGCCAGTTCTCTGTATTAGGGTCAGTTGTAACTAGGTCTAGACATGGACAAAGTATGGCATTTACTATATTTGAACTGTAATGTTGCTCACTTGGTAGCCAGTAAATTTGCCTCTGGTAACTTTTTTATCCCAATGGAACTTTGAAAAAGAAGATAAAACATGCTTAAATTGGTTGGTTCAGGCTTGGATTTGTGAATCCTGCCCATGTTCAGTAGGTTAGTTCAGGTCACAAGATATTGTGTACTTTTTGTTGGATCAATGACCTTAAAAAACTAGTTTAGAGACATTGCTCATGGCCAGCTTCTATTGATTTTGATGTCATTGACTAAATTTCTTACTTGATACAGAGATAGTCAATAGGTTTACCTTTGTGAAATTTAGCAGTGGCATGTCAAGAAGATTGTCCATACTGATTTTGAGGTAAACAGTTGAATTCAGTGACATTTGGTTGGTTACTTACCAAATTTAAAGTAGACTTATTTCCCCAATTGAATTGGAAAATAATTCCCAATGGGGGCCAAAAAAATCAAATGTTATTCTTTGAAAAATTGAACTGTTCTTGTTTTATTCCTATTAGAAAGTGACAGTTGTTTCATAAGTGATTTTTCTCACTTAATTGGAAAGAGGCCTAAGCCTCTTTGAGAAAAATTATTGCTAAAATTGCTATTTTGGAAAGTAAAGAAACATGTTTTTTAAGTTCAGATTTTTTTGGGAAAACTGCATGATTTTAAAGAAAATTTTAATTGGGAAGAGGCCTTTTTTTGGAGTCTGTTATATAAGCTGGAAAATCACTGTTCATACACATGTTAAAAAATTTGCAGTACAGGGCAGTTTATTAACATTCTGATTTTTGAAACTTCCAAAATGTTGAAAAAATTTCCCACTTTTCCCACAATATGCCAGGGGCCTTTTCCCATAATATCTGGAAAAGAACCAGGGCTTTCAATATTCCTCAAATTGTTTGCACTTAAATTTCCCCCAATATGATCAAATTTGCACTTGAATTTCTCCCTAATTAAGAGAATAGACTTGAATTTATTGGAGAAAAAAACAGTTGCTGGATCATTTCCAAACTATTTTTAGCACCTTCGGTTTGGATAATCTTTTGCAACTTCCCAGGTATATTGATTAAAAAAAGTTGCTGACTAGCTCTAGCTCGTACATTTAATATGATGATCATTTTCCTGACTTGTTGTTTATAAGCTTGAAGATAATATCTTATGCTCTCCTGCTGTGACCTTTGTGTACATTAAACAATTTAGCACTGGACCTGTGACATAAGCCAGTGAAAAATAGTTCGGGCCAGTGAAAATTTTAAGAAAATATAGTGAAATGTATAGTAGTATAAATTCATAGACTGTATTTGTTCCATTTTGTAAGATGAAATGGAAAAGAACAGCTGAAACTTTTCATTGTTGGGTTCTTTTGCAATATATTATTTCAAGTACAATTCTTAATTTCAGAATATGTTTTTCAGTTTAGGTATAATGTGACGGTGTATTATTCTTGTTTGCAAAATTTTGTTTTTCCATATTTTAGCTGTGGCAAGACTGGTCACATCTCCCGTGATTGCAACCAGGCCAGAGGTGGTAGAGGTGGAGGCGGAGGCAGAAGCACAGAGTGTTACAACTGCAAGCAGGAGGGTCACATTGCCCGTGATTGTCCATCTGGTGGCAATAAATATGACGACTAGACCAGTGTTAATGACCCATGCCAGTTTAAAGAAATGCATTAATTGATTTTAGTGCTTGGCATGTGCAGTTTACAACATCATGGTGAATTGGAAATATTGTGACTTGCATATGGTCTCTCCCGTGAGCAGACGATTGGATCCAGACTTGAAGGCTATTCGCCATTGATGATACATTGATATATTTTAAATTTTTTTTCTTAAATTCTAGGGTGTTTTGTTTTTTGTAGACTCATGCAAATGGCGAGATTAAGTAGTAAATAAAAAAAAATTCTTGTGGACAAAAATTATCAGTTTGGCATTTTTATTCAACTTTGGTGAAATGGTTGAAAATTTGGGTCTGGTTATGTGGATTCATTAAATCTCGCCACTTGGGATGTAGAGAAATTACATTTGCTTTGTAAATGAAAATGTGCAATTTCTGCTCTACAAAATCAATGGCAAAATTTTGGGCATTTATGAAGGTATGGTTTAAAGTGGATTTAAATGATCTTTTTTCTGCAAGATTATTTTGTTAATCAAGGTAGTTTGTAATACTATTTTGCCATGTAGGGAATGAAATTGCATATGATCATATATATATATATGTTAACATATTTACATTATTTCTACACTATTTGTATGCAAAAATAAATGATGGATTTATTTATAATTCAAAAGCAAATTTAGCAAGGTCACTGGCTCTTACTAGGCTTTATTTTTCCGGAATTAACTAGTTTATGTGCTTTGACAAGAAAAATGTAAACAAATATTTTACCAATGACAATAGTTTGCCTCATTTTCATCAAGATGTTAAAAAAAAGTTCAGTGTATTAACCACCAAGTAATAAGCAATCATTCAATAATCGGGTTTTCAACGAAAAGTGGTTTTATAGTCGTTTAATTTATGACATTGGCATATTCTTTTGTTCACTTGCATAACAATTAGTGTAGAAATAGTGGCCCCGATGACCGGAAGGTGATGTTGAAGAGAAGGTTGACAGCTTAGATGAAGAGAAATGTTAGGGAAAGGATTTTTTGAAGGGTAGCTGTAACCTGACTAAGATTTATATGAAGTTTTGGATGGGACTTGTTGCCATTGCTTTAATCAAATATAAAGTTGACACGAGATACAATTGATTGTATGAGTTCTGGTAATGTACCAGGTATAAAGGGATTGGTCGTTTTAGGGTTGACCAGTCAAAACTGTTGTAATGAACTCTCGATGAGTGTCAAAGGGTAGTTTGTGATAGTTCATATTTTGCTCATTTCATTATATCACAGCAGTTCATGGGTTTTTGTGAAGAATATTGATACATAGAATTTGTGGTGTTAGAGGTAAAGGATATTATTATATCCAAATGATGCATTTGTGCAGAGTTTTGTTAAAATTTGACAGTAGATGGTAATTTTTGTTTTTACCTGTTTTTATTTTATATTTAAAAATGAGAAAAAAAGTTAAGCGTGATATAGAGGCAGAGAAGTTGTCCACATACACTTGACCAGACTGTGTTCAAAGTGAAATGATTTCATAGAATATTTTTGAGTTTATAAAGAGGATAACAAGATGTGTGGACAACTAGATCTGCAGTGTATTATCTCTAAAGGCAGCTCACATTTCAAGGTTTAGGAAGGGGATATTGTTGTACAGTATATCTATCTGTAGTTTATTTGATGCTTTTGTTGTGTTGCTTATGTTGAAGATTTTTTAAAAGTACCAAATTGTCAAATATCGTTTTCAAAAGTATGCATTGAAATTCTAATTATATTTACATTTTGGAATATTGTATTTTAAATTTTTTTTTTTTTTTTTAAAGACCAGCTTTTTATAGAAAACATTAAGGCTTTAGTATGTTTTCTGTTCCATTTAAAAATCTAGATTGTTTATTGGTGCATTATACGATATTTTTAGGTTAACATTTCCAAGAAATAATTGTCATTCAATTTGCCATGTAAGATGTAATCAGTTTTAAAAAAATAAACTAATGCTATAATACATTGTTGTTGTTGCTGCTGTTGTATTATATGGTCCAAGTACAGTCTTCAATTTCACATTTTAGCCCAAAGTTGTTGACATATCATATCACTGATCGCATGTCCTGCAAAAAGTTAACTTCAGTTGAACATTTTTCCAAAATTGTCTGGTTCCAATCCAATAAAAAATTGAAATAATCCCTAGGGCAGACTGATTATTATACCTCCAAAACGAAGTTTGTGGGGTATATAGTAGTTTATCTGTGGTCGGTCCAGCGGTCTGTTGCATTTTCTTTTTCCGGAGCACAAGAACCAGAAATCCATCTTCACTAATTACAGATTTATTGCTCTTTGTTACTTTTTTTTGTCCGCAGCATAACTTGAGAATTGGAAACAACTTCATACAATGGTCAAGCACAATAAGAGGCAGTGCAGTGCACAAGAACCAATACTGTCTTAAAGTAATTACAGAGTTATTGGCTTTTGTTACTTTTCCATTGAATTTTGTGCGGAGCAGAACTTGAAGACTAATAGTTGGAATTCAATACAACTTCATACAATGATGAAGCATATTGAGAGGAAGTGCAGTGCACAAGAACCATAACTCTTTCTTGACTAATTACAGAGTTATTGCACTTAGTAACTTGTCTGGATCATAACTTGAAAATTACTAGTTGGAATTCAAAACGACATAATACTATCGTCAAGCACATTAAGAGGAAGTGCAATGCACAAAAACCATAATACCATTTTGACAAATTACAGAGTTGTTGCTCTTGAATACTTTTCCTTTTCTGAAGCATAACTTGAAAAGTACTGGTTTGAATTCAAAACAACTTAATACAATGGTCAAGCACAATAAAAGGAAGTACAGTGCACAAGAACCATAACTCTGTCCAAATTATAGAGTTATTGCCCTTTGTTACTTTTCCATTGCTTTTTTCTTGTTCAGAGCATAACTTGAAAACTACTAGTTGGAATTTCATACAATGGCAGTGATTTTCCTGCTTATATAACGGACTCCGATCCCAATTGAAATTTTCTTAAAAATCGTGCAGGTTACATAAAGCTGCTTTTTTATACCCCCAAAAACGGGGTTATATAGGAGTCACCCGGTGGTCGGTCCAGCAGGCCGTTGCATTTTCTTTGTCCGGAGCATAACTTGAAAACTATAGTTGGAAATCAATATAACTTCATACAATGGGTCAAGCACATTGAGAGGAAGTGCAGTGCACAAGAACCATAACTCCATCTTGACTAATTACAGAGTTATTGCCCTTTGTTACTTTTCCTTGTCCAGAGCATAACTTGAAAACCACTGGTTGGAATTCAAAACAACTTCGTTCATACAATTGTCGGAAGTGCAATGCACAAAAACCATAACTATCTAAAGTAATTGCAGAGTTATTGCCCTTTGTTACTTTTCCATTGCTTTCTTTTGTCCTGACCATAACTTGAAGACTAATGGTTGGAATTCAATATAATTTCATACAATGGTCAAGCACATTGAGAGGAAGTGCAGTGCACAAAACCATAACTCCATCTTGATTAATTACAGAGTTACTGCCCTTTGGTACTTTTCTTGTCCAGAGCATAACTTGAAAACTACTGATTTGAATTCAAAACAAAACCATAACTCCATCTTGATTAATTACAGAGTTACTGCCCTTTGGTACTTTTCTTGTCCAGAGTATAACTTGAAAACTACTGATTTGAATTCAAAACAACTTCATACAATTGTCGAGCACAATGAAGGGAAGTGCAGTGCACAAGAACCATAACTATCTAAAGTAATTACAAGAGTTACTGCCCTTTGATGCTTTTCCTTGTCCAGAGCATAACTTAAAACATACTGGTTGGAATTCCAAAAAACTTCATACAATGATCAAGCACAATTAGAGGAAGTGCAGTGCACAAAAACTATAACTATGTCCAGAGTAATTAGAGTCATTGCCCTGTGTTACTTTTCCATTGCTTTTTTCTTGTCCAGAGCATAACTTGGAAACTACTAGTTGGAATTCAATACTATTTCATACAATGGTCAAGTAGATTAAGAGGAAGCACAGTGTACAGAAATCATAACTCTTTCTGGACTAATTAAAATTTTTTTGCCTTTTGTTACTTTTTATTGTCCAGTGCATAACTTGAAAATTAATAGTTTGAATTCAATGAAACTTTATACAATGGTCAAGGGCAGTGAGATGGAGTGCAGTGCAAGAACCATAACTATTTGGACTAATTACAGTTATTGCCCTTTGTTACTTTTTTGTCATGTGCATAACTTGAAAACTTGTGGTTTGAATTCAATACAACTTCATACAATGGTCAAGTGCAATGAGAGGAAGTGCAGTGTACAATAACCATAACTCCATCTTCAGTATTTATAGAGTTATTGCCCTTTGTTCCTTTTCCTGGTTTTTCAAGAACCACAACTATCTTTAGTTGCCCACAACCATAACTGTATTTCAATTGTTTTACAAGTTATTCTGTTACTAGTAACATCCTCATTCCGAAGCAGTCTTGCGGGGGTATTAATCACATTTAGTGATAGTTCTAGTTACTTTTTAGCAATAATTTTTCCCAAAATCAAGAGGTTTAGATGCATGGTCCAGCAAAAACCCCAGGCCTCCCCCCCCCACCCCAGTACTAATATACTTGCTGTTACAGCTTCATGGTGCACTATTGGCCACAATATATTTGTCAAACAGTTGACGCTTAATGACGATGCTGTAACTGTAAAAAACTGTACCCTTGGATTAGTTGGGAAGAACCCAAAATATTCTTAGTTCTAGAGTAAGTATTAAAACAATAGTTTGTAGATTTTAGAAAAAAAAATAACCTGTTTAGTTGATAATTGGCAAGACTGCTCCCATCTGCCAGAAAAATCTGCTTTGATGAATGAGGTCAGTATGATGAAAATAGATGCATCAAAGTGAATGCCCAGAAGCCAATGTCCATTCACTGCAAATATTGGAATAATCTACATTAAAGATAAGAATCTCTAATCAATTTATCTGTCAATAAATGCTGCATTACAGCTCAATACTAGTACTTTTGGATGCAGGGCTTTTTTTGCTCAGGGTGAGCTTTTAGGATCATTGATTGTCCGTCCACATTTGTTAACACTCAAGCGGTCACATTTTTGCCTCAGTCATCATCAAAACTTTTAGGTAATTGCTGGGATGAGTTCGAACATGGGTCATCTCTGATTAAAAAACAAGGTCACAAAATAGAAAGATCTTGTTAACACTAGCGACTACAGTTTTGATCCAAATATCCTGGAAATTGGTCTGAAAGTTTTTGATGATTTCTTGGTCTAGTTCGAATATGGGTCACCTGGGGTCAGAAACTAGGTCACACTGCCCAAATATGGAAAAACCTTGTTAATACTCAAGTTGTCACATTTTTGACTCAATTGTCATCAAACTTGGTCGGGATGCTTTTCTAGGTAATTGCTCGGATGAGTTTGAACATGGGTCATCTCGGATGAAAAACTAGATCACAGGAGCTTAAAATAGAAGACTTGTTAACACTAGTGGCTACTGTTTTGATCCCAATTTCCTGGAAATTTGTCTGAAAGTTTGTTTTGATGATTTCTAGGTCAAGTCAGAATATGGGTCACCTGGGGTCAAAAAATAGCTCACACTGCCCAAATACAGAAAAGCTTGTTAACACTAGTGGTCACATTTTTGACACTGACAAACATCCTGACCAAGTTTGATGACAACTTAGTATATGTAATTGGTCAGATGAGTTTGATGGGTCAGGGCCCTCTTTTCAGAAATGAGGAAACCTATAATATCGTCGTTATTAAAAAAATGTTTTCCTTTTCCTATTGCTCACTGCTAAGATTCAGGTAATAAATTACACAAGCAAAATGATTGTTTCTAAAGAAAATGTTTTTAATATGTATAAAATTGGTAACCTACCCCACCCACTTTAAACACTTCTTTGACCATTTTCCTTTATAAATAGCCTTATTCAAAATATCCCTTAAATTTACAACAATGAAGGGCTTTTTCTGTTTGCCTTAATTTTCTTAAAGATATATTTGTTGATCTTGCAAAATATGAAACACTTGCAGTGTTGTTTTTATTTTATTAAACTTTGGAAATATCTGGTATAGTACTCCCCGCGGGTACTGCATCCTTGCCCATTCCGATGTAATCAGAAAATTTGTTTCTTTTCACATTGAATGCCAGCAAATACTGTTTCCACCATTAAAATGAAAGTGGAAGTGCTGCTGTTTTGTGTCGTTTAAAAGGCGACATATAGGGGTTACTTTTGTCGGCGGCGTCTGTGTCGGCGTCCCCTATAGCTTGTCCAGAGCATAACTCGGTCACTATAAGTCTGATTGACTTTAAACTTGGTATGCATGCTTCTTTCAATAACCCAAAGTGCAGTGCACAAGAACCAGTACTCTGCTTTTCTTAATTTTTGAGTTATTGCCCTTTGTTAATTTTCATACTTTTAATTTTGTCCACGCCATTTCTCTTCAACTATATATGGACTTGAAACTTCATAGGATGATAGAACTCATTAAGAAGAAGTGCAGTGCACAAGAGCTCGTACTCTGCACTTCCTAATTTTTGAGTTATTGCCCTTTGTTAATTTTCATACTTTATTTTTGTCTGGGCCATTTCTCCTAATGTATAAAAGCCATGGACTTGAAACTTCATAGGATGATAGATCTCATTGAGAAGTGCAGTGCACAAGAACCGGTACTCTGCATTTCTTATTTTTTGAGTTATTACCCTTTGTTAATTTTCATACTTTTATTTTTGTCCGGGCCATTTCTCCGAAAGTATAAAAGCTATGGACTTGAAACTTCATAGGATGATAGATCTCATTAAGAAGAAGTGCAGTGCACAAGAACCGGTTTTCTGCATTTCTTATTATTTGAGTTATTGCCCTTTGTTAATTTTCATACTTTATTTTGACCAGGCCATTTCTCATAATATTTCAAAGCTATGGACTTGAAACTTAATAGGATGGTATATCTTATTGATAAGAAGTGCAGTGCAAAGAAACTGCTGCTCTGCACTTCTTATTTTTTGAGTTATTGCCCTTTGTTAATTTTCATGTCCTGGCCAATTCTCCTAAACTATATTGTTCACAAGGCGACACATCCAACTCGCAGAGTTCTAGTTGTGAATTTGAATAGAAATTTTTTCATCTCATGGATAGGAAAATCCAAAGCTGCCCATTGTGTTTTGAAAATACTTCTTTATTTTACCCCATACTTAACGGTAAAACTTATTATTTCATGTTCTGACAAGTGAAGGTTGTCTGCTGAAACTGTAGTGACATCATATTCTGTAACAAAAAGTTATACTGAAGCAAAAAGGGCCATTATTAATTAACATACCACGGTATCATAGTGCTCTCCGTTTAAGCTCCCATTTAAAACATGGCTGACTGACCATAGATGTTTCTAATTTAAATCATAGAGTTACTCTATGAATGTGTATTTTAAAGTCTAGATGCGACAGCTAAACACAGTACAAGAAAATAGTAAATACAAGTTCTTTTTATTTGTACAATTTGCTGGAAATAATAAGAACAATGGTACTATAGGGGGCCAATCTATCATATTTGCTATTAAATTTGGCAATATTTAGCAAATAAATACCTACAATAATTATATTTATTACAATCAAACACTTTTCATCTATAAGTGATAATGTTAAAAAGAAAAATGAAAAAAAAAAAGTTGCCCCTTCTGGGGTTTGAACCCATGCCCCACAGTTTCAATGCAGTCTAGCCTATTTGAATACTCTTCAAAGTGGAGGTAATGCATTAGGAGTGGTCTCCCTTAAGCTTGATTATTAAGAAGTTGAAGAAAATACAGTTTGAACATTGTTTCTCCCTGTGAAATACTGAAATATTTCAGATTCAACATTTAGGTGAATATGATTTATTTAAGGCTTGGATATTTTTCAAAGTGAAATATTGGAAGGAGATGGTTTTATACCATTCATGTTATGTTGTGAATTGTGATTGTAAAAAACAAACTGTTAATATTTTTTGAAAATGTTGAAACCATTTACCAGCTTGATTTATGTGATTGATTGCCTTTGCATTTTAAGAATTTGGAATAGTCCCTACAAGGGGATTTCATTATCAAAATTCAAAAATAAAAGGCTTTGACTTAATAGACTGGAAAACGTAGATAACGTAATGCAGACAGTTTAAAATGAATCTTGTGAGATAACATTGTAAAGGAATGCTGTACATGAATGACCTTGAGTATAAAAGTTTTATCTTGTAAGATAATAAGACAGCTTTGCAATGTTGTGTAAACATTCATAATCATTCCTGTGTAAGATAATATACGAGTGGTTTTTGAAGTTTTTCAATCAGATCGTTATAAACTATTACAGGTGAAGGAGAGGAGAGGTGGTGTGGTTTGGAGGAGAGTAGAGCAGAGCAGATTTGACTGGAGGAGGAGAAGTTTTTGGAGGTTGAGTAAAAAGGGGAACGGGATACAGGAAGTTGTTGGTTTTAAGAGGAGTAGATTATTGGACGTGGAGATTGTAGCAAAGATCAAGATGTCTGACACTACATGTTATAAGTGTGGAAAGAAGGGGCATTTTGCAAGGGAATGTCGGTCCAGTGGGTCAAGTCGAGGTGGAGGGCAAGGGAGCAGGCAGTCAGGTACTTGTAAAAACTAGTTTTTTTGTTGGTATATATGCAGGAATTAGAAGAGTTTATACTACTTGTGGTTTAGAAAAAGGTTCGATTTTTCACCAAAAAAAACTAAGTCAAACATGTTGGATGGAATTGAGCAACCTCTAACTGAAAGCGAAGGTGATAAGTATTGTCCCTATTCTGTACATAAAAAGATAAAGCAAGATAGATATATGTGCTCAATTAATAAAGATTTACTGACTGTCAGGTATTCAAGTCATTCAGTCTGACCTTATATTAAACTGCATTGTTAATGTTGTAATAAACGGTTCCACTTTCCGATTTGCCATTATCAATATAGTTTCTCACTTGATGTAACAAGCCAGTGACCTCTCACTGAAACAATCATTCCTAAATTTTGAAGTAATTGATTTTATTCACCATTTTCCCATCTTTGGTCTCCCATTATTTACATTGAAGATGATGAATATATCTTGCTTTTATTTTCATAGTGAGATGCTACAAGTGTAACAAGTTTGGACATTTTGCGCGTGACTGTAAGATGGAGGGGGATAGATGTTACAATTGTAACAAGATAGGCCATATTGCCAAAGACTGTGATAAGGAAATCGATGAAGGTAAGTGATTGTGCATTATTAGAAAATAGAAAGTGCAACACTACTGTATTCCAAAACTACTGTATTCCAAAGTTTAGAGTTTTCATTTTTGTTTCTCCATTGTCCTGTTACTAATGTAAAGATTGTAAATTGATTTAAATTGACTATGTTGATTATTTTTTACTTTGACAAAGTGAGAAGTCCTTGAAAAAATATTTTTCATTTAATTATAATATATTTTGTTACTGTTATATTTAGGCGGTGCTGTAACAAATATTGTTAAACTGAAAATTTCTTGTTCAAATTCCCTATTTAAAGTAGTGTTCAATTTGCTTTTAGCAGGGATATGCTACAATTGTGGAGAATCTGGACACATCCAGAAGAACTGCCCTGATGCTGATGGTGACTCCAAAACTTGTTACAGGTAATTTAGCATGTTTATTTTCAAGAAACAAATTGCAATTTATGATTCAGGCCTATTTAATTTTTCAGGAATGCCTACATGTATATTTTAGTTTACTTTCCTAAATGATCTTTATGTGCTTGGACCTTGAGCAATGTTTTATTTTAGAAAATGAATGAACCCATCTTGAGAATTCCTCCATTACAGGCATTTTTGCGTGCCATTTGAACAGCACAAATGTTGAGAAATACAGAGACACACTGTACAGTTACTGAAATTTTATCTGCTTATTTTAGATGTGGAGAAAAGGGCCATCTTGCTAGAGATTGTCCAGATGATGTCCAGGATGACCGAAAATGTTACAACTGTGGAGAGGTTGGTCATCTGTCCCGTGACTGTACCAGTGATCGACAGTACAGTAGTAGCTCCTATAGTCGCCAGGATGATCGTAAATGTTACAAGTAAGAACCAGTATACTGATGGTAATATTTTCTGATGTTAGTGATAGTGAGAGGGTTAAGAAACAAAAAAGTTAAGTGTTGCTGGCTCAGTTTGATTTAGTGTTCATGTAGGAAGGCTATGAATGCAAGCTGTTGTCCACACAAGCTTAAACAGAACTCTACATGTACTGGTGTAAGGTTGATGAAATGCAGTCAATTTTTCTGGTTCATTTTAGAGGCTTGTTGAACGTAAGAAGTTAAATGTTTAAAAAATTCCTGTATGTTTACAGCATTATGAATTGATTTCACAAACACCACCTGGCAGATAATTGTGAAATTGAAGACCTTTCTCTACCATACAAAAATAGTTGTAATAGTTTGTTTAAGCAGCATAGCAAAGTACTTAACAAAAATGTATTAATTGTAAGATTGTCAGAGATGGCAAAATGCTCTCAAACTTTTATCTAACTTACAACATATTTGTCAACTCGGCTGAAATTATATTGGTAAATAGATTATGTAATAGTGGCTAATATGATGTCCATTGATACTGATATTTACATTGTTGAATATATATTACAAACTGAATCACATTTAAGGTGTGGGGAAGGTGGTCATCTTGCTCGTGATTGCCCTGATGATGAGCCACGAGAAGATACACGATCTTGTTACAACTGTGGTGAAGTTGGCCATTTGTCGAGGGACTGCCCTGATGAGAGGAAGACTGAGAGAAGGACAGAGCGTCGTTCCCAGGAATGCTACAAGTAATTCATTATATTTTGTTTCGGTTTCAAGTTGCTCTGACAATGTTGCTTGTAAATTGACACCTTATATTATAAAGGAAGATTGCTGTAACCACTTTCATAATTTAGATAAAATCGCCATGCAACATTGTCAATATGTTTACTGTAGTTTGGCGGCAGTAATGAAAGAATTTTGTGAGTGAGATTGGAACTCTTCGGTAAAAGTGTGCAAGCGTTCAGAAGTTTGTTGTTGTAACCACAAGGCAAATGTAGAACTGAAGATATTGCATCTTTTATTTGTTAATGCTTGAATTTTACGAAGTCTGGACTGTTAAATATTGAATATTCATAATAAAAGTTACAGAAATCAAATGATATATTAAATTATTTCAACACTTTAGTTATGCAAAACCTTTGCCAAGTGATTTAAGTCTTTAATTTACAGGATGACATCATTTTGAAGCTTTCTATTGGTTTCTAATGTTAACATTTGCTTAACATGGCACAATTTTATTGTTTGTGGTTTGAATTTTGCTTTACAATAACAATTAAATTACAGGTGTGGTGAATATGACCATATTGCCCGGGATTGTCCATCAACAAAGAAGGATGTAGAGTGTTATAATTGTAACAAGATGGGCCACTTTGCTCGTGACTGCCCTAAAGGTGCTGCAGAGGTCACTTGCTACAACTGTAACAAGACCGGTCACTATGCCAGGGACTGCAATGAATTTGGCGAGGATTAGACAAATAGTTGCTAAGTGGAGGGACACTGCATTCCCATATAAAGAAAGATGGGATTTGCATACCCTTTTTTTTTGAGAATTCTGAATGTTTTAGTGTAGTGTATGATTTTAATGTTTTAATTATTGTTTTGATTTGACATGTTTATATAACCAGGTAGTAAAACATGAATTTTACCTGCCGACTTAGATGAAATGGCAACATTTTCTGCTGGTTGCGGACATTTGATACAGACCATATTGATTTAGTGTATGATGGTGGAGGGGCGATTGTGATTGACTTGTGTTTTACAATTTTTCTAAAGTGCCTGTCTGTATTCCTTTTGTTTTTTTTTGTATTTTATTAAATTATGTGACATTTTTAAATCATATTTGTAGCTGATTCAGCTAATGCATCAAGACTCTGATAAGTTGCTGTTTTTTCTTTGACACATCTTCATATTGGAGGTGATCTATTCAGGAATTCATCGAAATATTTATTCACTTGTTCTCCTTTAATGTACTGCTTTGAAGAAGATGTCTGCAATTTGCCCTTTGTTTCAAAGAACTGATCACATGACCAAAGTAAATTTGGTTTGCAGATTTGAAGTAAAACGGTCATGTTTCATTTATGAATAAAATTGTGTTCAATGTTGTAATTTAAAAAAAAAGGCTTCTTGCAGACATTTCTTCTATTGTGGATCACAATGCTATGCAATGATTTTTAAAATAGCATAATGACAAATTGACTATGGTGGTTTGAGTATTTGTTGAATGTTTGCCAGATGTGTTTTAATTAATGGTAATATGCATGTTGCATATTTATTTCATGGAATTTTGTATTTTGAAGATGCAATGCTTTCATATTATTTTTTTTTAAATAAAATCATTAAAAGTTGGGCATCATTTTGTATTGTTAGGAATGTTCAAATGATAGAAGTACCATAATTGTCGGGTCCCAAAATTGGGACAAGATTACTTCATAGAAATGGGAAGTTTTTAATTTCAAGAACTAAACTGGGAGTAGGGTTAAAAAAATGGTGAATATTGGATTTTTTTATTTGTTACAAGTGGAAAAGTGTGTCAAGTGAACAGTTAAATCTCGGGGCTTTTACTAATAGAGTAATGCAAGATTTGTGTGACTTTTAAAAACTTATTTTAGAGTTTAGATGTTTAAACAGAGGGACATGTTTATGAGGAGGAGAGAGAGTGACGGAGAGGAGGTATTTTTATGAGTTGGGAGATTTTAAGGGAGTTTTAGGGTGATTAAGAAGATTTACGGTGAAGAGTAGATGTCGGTCAATGAGTTTACAGACATTGAAGAAGTGTTGTTTATGAAGTGGAGAGTGGGAAGCATTTTTACAGATGACCTGTAAACTGTATATTTTTTCATTGGTTTTAAAACCTTAGTAAGGGTCTAAAAAACCTGTTAAAATGCCTTCTTGTATTTTCTTTCATTCCAAGGCAGCTCCAAATAATCAAAGTAGGACAGGGACAGATGGTGTGTTTCAGAAGGGAGAGTGTCTCGAAAATAAATAAATATTCATAGCCATAATGCTGCAGATAAGTTTGTTAAAACTTGAATGAAATAGAACAGGTAATTTATATGCAAATGTTATGATGAGGTAACATCTTAAGCAAAAATGTATATTTCATGGTGGTTAGTTGTTAAAGATTGACTTGAACAAAAAAAATTGTTAAAGATATAAAAACAAAGGTGGATTACATATTATTTTTATATTAAATAAAGTTATGGCTAGCCAAAAGTTTTTGTTATTGTTTGGTTTTTAAAGGTACACTTTTCCAGCTTTATTGAAGGATGTATATGTAAGTTGCCCTTCTGTGGATTATTGCAAGCCTGCACAGGCACTTGAGCTTACTTGGTAGCTACATGAAATAATCAATTTTCTGGTTGAATCAAATTAACTAAGATTACAGACCACCTGGACCAGGAAAACAATTGTTAAAAAATCGCCAAAATTTGGAGGCATTCACGTTAGAAGAAAAAATGAGAAAAGTTGAACAATGGTTTCATATTGGTGCATCTTGTTTCCCAATGTTAAGTGGTCACCTGATCACAGTGGTCTAAAGCGAGCTTTTTGTAATAGCAATGTGTCTGGCATACTGTCTAAACAACATCCCCAACTACAACCAAATACTACATATAGTGATTGCCTGAGCTAGATATGAAATCTTTAAAAGTAATTTATGAACAATGCCAAGAGGCTTCGATATTTTGCATGTGAAGAAGTGGTCTGGATTATCTGAGAGAAAGTCTTTTGAGACGTTTTGTGGTCTGTTTTATCTCTGTACTGAATATAATCAAATGTGTATCAATACATTAGAATAATAAAGAAGAAATATCTGCATCAAAATACTGTTGAATATTGACTGGGAAGCATAGCCAGTTCATTATAAGGTGATAAGTGGATATATTTTGTTGACCCAGTGTAAAGGTGAGTAAAGACTTGTCATCACCGGCGCTAGTCACATAATCAAATATTTTACATAAAAATATTAAGCTACATCTTACAGTATAGAGGCATATAAAACTAATAATAAAAGTTTGGAAAACAGAACTAAAAGCATTTACAAGAATACATAACAATTTATTCATGCAAATATAACATTTATACAATGACAGAGTAATAAGTACACTGCCACAAACTAGTAGTACCCTTCTACAATAATATAAGCAACATCCAAAAATGACGATCAATAATCATGGAATAAACATCGCAAGAATCAAAATATACTCTGGCGGGTCTGTTTAAGACCCCTGTGAGAATGAAGATATAATGTCTATTTTAAGAGGTTTGGTTTTTTCATTCATTGCCCAAATTCTCCTAGAGATTGACAACAAAACTAGAATGAAAACAACTTAATATATTGCATATTTCTAATATTGATTTTCATTTAATCTGTAGAATATTTGTTACAAATTCTACTCTAGGCCTGGGCTTGTGTTAAGTGAGGAAACCTGATTGTGACCCGAGTAAGGCTAGACCCACAATATCTAGGCTTAGGCCGAGAAACCTTGAACACTAGACCACCACACAATGAAGTAATACAAAGAAGCAATGATGACAAAATTATTGGGAAAAGCTCAAAAGGTATAACATTTTATTAAACAAAACATAAACAAACATAAAAACAATGAGTCTCAGCTGATAATATTTCATTTTATCACATGACCTGGTGTGTAACTTTTCCATGTAATGCAACATTAACAACTATGCTCCATGTATATATGACATTATGATCATTTTTCACTGTCAAGTTCAGAGCTGACCACTGTTTTAAAAGGTCGACTAGTATAATGGTGACTGACCAATAATTGAGAATGTTGAATGTTGTTGTTGGATAAAAAAAAATCTGCCTAAAATGAAAAGCAGACTATGTACCCCACTCTTTGTATCAAATGAACATTACGTGACATTTCAATGGGTATTTTAAAAATACTTCTAGGTTATTGATTATTCATGAGTAGAAATTAAAAACAATTACGGCAAAATGTTAAGTCATTTTGACTTTTACCTCTATATTCACCATCGGCACAAGTCGTGGTAAAATATCACATTGTGTGTTTTTATACGCCCGTTTCAAAAACGGGACGTATTATGGGAACGCCCCTGGCGGGCGGGCGGGCGGCGTCCAATTTTGTCCGGAGCATATCTCCTACATGTATGGAGGGATTTTAATGAAACTTCATAGAAATGTTCACCACTATGAGGAGCAGTGTCGCGCACATGAACCAGGTCTCTAGGTCAAAGGTCAAGGTCACACTTAGAGGTCATTGAAAAATGCTTGTCCGGAGCAAAACTTCCACATGTATAGAGGGATTTCAATATTACTTGGCACAAATGTTCACCATTGTGAGGCGGAGTGTCTTATGCAAGATTCAGGTCCTTGCTGCCAAGGTCAAGGTCACACATAGAGGTCAAAGTTCAGATACAAATATGAAGATGTGTATATGGACCATTTAGTCATGATTTATTGAGGGATTGTAACACAAATTGTCATTACCAAGACTATGGCTGTGATACATATAATTTAGGTCAATATATACAAGGTCAAGGTCACTAAAGATGATGAAATATCCAGATTTTGTAAATAGAATTTAATCAAAGGGCGACAACAAAGTTATTACTTTGTTCATAAATGACTTACACAATTACTCCCCTTGATCTACTTTCACTTTCAATTCTAAAAATAGAATTTAATCAAAGGGCATAAAATAATCCTCTTTCTTGGACTTGAGTATGTTCTAAAGAATGTAACATTTATTTACACATGTTTCATTCATTGGTCAAGATTCTTAACTGTGATAACTATGGTGTTCTGTAGGCTTGGTATTTGTTCATAAAGATCATACAGTAATTACCTTATCAAATGTAAATACTTTCCCATAGAAATTTAATTATATTTTAATTTTCAAGTAAATATCAGTTCAGCTCTTTCAAAAATTAAGAATTGTAATGAAATGTATTTCCCTAGAATAAAATCTTTAATCAGAATTTTTTAGTTATTTAATTACAATTACATGTACTTTTTATCTTCCCTACTGATTTGTTTTAAGGTTCATTTAACAACACAGTGCCAAGGATAAAAACTTGCTTGCTAGATAACACTTATCCATAATGCCCCCATCTCCATCTAAAGCTTTCGTAAACGGGCGTATTTTGTGACTATGGCACCCTTGTTTAATTTAATACACATGACTGAGCAGCCTACTGTTGAGTGACAACAGAAGGAATTCTTCTCTAGGTTAGATTTCACACAAACATAACCTCTCTGGACTAACAAATATATGTCTCCCAAAGGGTGTTGCTCAGTAGAGGTTGTAATGTAGAGAAACTGTTATTTTTTTTGTAATTTCACAGTGATTTCCATTAACCCATTGCCTGCCGGCAACAACAGATTCTACCCTTGTGACCAGTGCAGAACAAAGATCACCCAGCAACTTGATGCCGTCTCGTCAAGGTCTGAAGTGGTTGCTTTCCAGTCTGTATATATTTGAAATTTACCCACTACAAGAACACTAAATAACATTTTTTTCATAGACTAATTAAATAAGTCAAGCCATGAATTAAAATATTTATGTAAGATCCTATATATAATTATCTAAGATAACCTACAAATTTTGCTAATTGCTTAAAGAAATTCAATATGGGACAATATTTAGCAATCTATCATTATCGATGAACAATAAACAATGATTAATACATAATGTTATCATGGCAAACCTTTTTTGTCCATGTAATATCAACAATATTTCTCCTAACGAGGCATAATGTCGTAAAATAGAAGGTTGTAGCAGACCCATCAATGCAAAATCACTGTAATTACACATTTCCCTTAAATAAAAAAACACCTTAAATAAGAAACAAGAGGGCAATGATGGCCCTGAGGTCGCTCACCTGTATATAGGCCCCACAATGTTAAGTTTTTACTACACACATGTAATGAAAAACAATGATCTACTCTTCCCCCCCCCCCCCCCCCCCCCCCCCCCCCGCAGTGCCAATTTTCACCAAGGGCTTTTATTTGAACAAACTTGGTAGACATCCATAAGAAGATATTTCATGCTAAATTATGATTACAATTTGATTGATGTTGATTACTTTCAGATTTTACATGAAACTATTGAAATTCAAATGATTTATTTCATATGTTACAGTTCAACTAAGGAAGTTAAATATCAAGTGAGACATTTTAAGACATCACTCACAATGAATAAGTTTTAATCCATACAGTTAACCAAATTCTAACTGAAAGATAGACATCATTGTGTGGCTGGTATTCTAATCAGAATGTCAAATCATTGGATTTATGATGTCTTTGAATTTCCTAAAGAAACATCTGGAAATGTGACAGCACAGTGCAAATTGTGCCATAAGAAGATAAATGGAAACACTAAGTCACATTCAAATTTCATTACCCACTTAAAGGTATGTTAAATTTTGTTTCACATATTTTGGTTAAACCATGTTTTAAAAAGTTTCAAACACTGTAGATAACTTCTTTACTTTGTATATTCTAGAGTTTATGTCAGATGCATATTACCATATTTTAATTATATGCAACAGTTTTGTATGGTGATAGACAATGTGTCTATATTATAATTGATACTGTTGTACCATTGAAGTGTTTGTAAAAAATTGATAATTTCTTTGTAAAGCCTATTGTCTCTTTGAATTCCCATACAAAAATTTATTGTTTTCACACCTGTTTTAACACCTGTATACAGCATACTGTACAATTGACACTTTTCAAAATTTCTGTTGCAGAGAGTTCATTATGAAACCTACACCAAGAAGACTGAGGACCATTCCTGCATCATCGGCCCCTGTAGAGCATTTGTTTAATGTTGCGGGTAAAATTTTCCGTCCTGATAGATGCAGTCTGACTGATAGAACATGAACTTATGATGCTAAAGTGCATTGCTAAAATATGATAAAGTGATGTGACAGTAACTAAAAGTGTGTTCAAATGATGACTATTGATGAGCTGGAAATCCTTTGTGTATATAATGTATACTTAAGTATATTAAATAGCATTAAGAAACTTTTGTTTATAGTTATACATGGAATGTAATCAATTATCAATCAATTACTTTCTTAAAGTAATTGTAATTTAATTGATAACAGAGGCAAGTCTGAGTAATCAATTGTAATCAATTACAATAAAATCTGAAAGTAATTGTAATTAAATCAATTACTGATCAATGTAATCATCCCCAGGTCTGAACCAGAGTTCTGCATGG